AAAGTCTGACACTCTCCCAATCTCTACCATGTCCTACCTGAATCGGAGGCCGGATATGCACCCCCCAAGACAGTTGATTTCTTTGTATCCAATCCATGTCAGCTGTCCTGGTCATGGCTTGGCTCAGATCTTGAAGTAGATGTAATCTTAGAGCTTTAGAGCCTTCTAGTATGGCTCCATGGCTCCGCATCAGCATTCTCACGTTGCTTGCCCAGCTCATCCAAGGTCTGGCTTGCTCCGCAGATGTGATCTACGCGAATCGGGTAGCCTTTGCAGCCCGCATGAGCGATGGCACCGTCTCCACGTGGGGACAGTCGGACAAGGGGGGGAACTCCTCCAGCGTGATGAAAGAGCTGACCAACGTTGAGACCATTCATGCTGGCGGGAGTGCCTTCGTGGCCCTCAAGTCCGATGGCTCCGCCATTCCTTGGGGCAACCCAATGCCATCGTATTGGAAGAGGGTGGAACCAGAGCCAGCAGAGCTCAAAGAGGTTGCGGCAGTCTATTCTACTAGACATGAGATAGCCATGGCCTTTGCCGCCGTAAAGGCTGACGGCTCCGTCACCACCTGGGGCTATCCGGATCACGGTGGTGATTCATCCAGTGTGGCAACGGAGCTCACGAATGTAAAGACCATCAGCTCCACTGACTATGCCTTTGCGGCACTGAAAGGGGATGGCTCTGTAGTCACGTGGGGCAAGACAAGCCATGGAGGAGATTCCTCAGGCGTCAAAACGCAATTGACCGGTGTGGTGAGCATTTCCTCTACAGACTCTGCCTTTGCTGCTTTGAAGGCTGATGGTTCCGTAATCGCATGGGGCGACCGGCAAAAAGGTGGAGACGCATCTCCTGTGGCTGCGAGCCTAGTTGCAGTGACAGCAATCTACTCCACTCGCATGGCTTTTGTCGCGGTCGCGAAGGACTTGATGATCACTTGGGGACTCTATGAGAATCCGAACTTCGGTTACGATTCTGCAGCGGGTGTCCATGAGGCTTCTGGTGTGGTTTCCGTCATCCCCAATACAGGTGCTGTCGCCGCAATCCGGGAAGATGGCTCTGTGATGACCTGGGGCGCCTACCATTCCGGCGGTGATTCTTCCGAAGTGAGTGAGCAGCTGTCATTAGGGGTAGCCACCATTTTCCCTGGCTCTAACACATTTGCCGCGCTCAAGAAGGACAGTTCCGTGGTTACATGGCCAAAAAGCAACAAAGGCGGCGATTCCTCATCTCTTAGCCAGAAGCTTGTTAACGTGGCCAGCATTGTGGGTTCGGCTTGGGCGTTTGCCGCCCTGAAAAAGGATGGCTCTGTTGTGACGTGGGGAGATGCAGACTATGGCGGAGATTCTACAGATGTCCGTTCTCAGCTTGCTGGTGTGGAGTCTATCAGCGCAACAAGCTCCGCATTCGCCGCCAAAAAGACCGATGGGACGGTGGTTGCCTGGGGAAACCGGGAGAACGGCGGAGACCTCAACCAGGGCAGCGGCTTTTGCCCAGATAAGTCTGGGAAGCCCGGGGTCGAAAGATCTGGTGGAGGCTGGATTCGGGTCTTTCGCTTGGTAGCACTTACCATCGGGCTCATCATGGCCATTGCGGGGGTTTGGTTTTGCAAGAAGCGAAGCTCCGCCGGGGCAGTTGCAGCGCGAGATACCGTGGAGCTGCAGCGAGTCTGATGCGGCAGCTATCAGATGGGATGCTACTGTAGCTGCTCGGGCTTTGAGAATGTTTGCAGTGTAAAGCGCAGCATGGGCCGTCGCACAGAATGAGAGGATCATGTTGCGGTGCACCCGAATTTGGCTGCACTGGCCAAGATGACCGCAAGGGTGGGTGCTTCAAATCCCAAAGTATGACCTGCATACTTGCATCCCCTTTGCTTACCCTGTCCTCTCCGCAGAAGAGAAGGGATCTTAACCCAAAACTCTAAAGCCGTAAACCCTACATGCCCTCTATATCCAGGGGAGGATGGAACCATCGCCAGCACACACTGATCGCAAGTTCGGGTGCCTTCACTGAGCCCTGGAAGCGGTGGGCGCCTTCGATGCTGGAGCATGAAATGACCGCGGAGTGTGGTTGACAGCTGCTCAGGGTAATGAGTAATGCCGACAGCAGACAGTCTGTCCACAGGCATGCCGTTTTGTATACTTCTTGACTTCCCTCTCTCAAAGTACAACTTGCACAGTCTCTTTTCAGCACCATCTGCACGCCCTTTAGCATGAAATGGCCAGCAGCCCCACGCGCCCCCGTGAGGTCGACTTTTCCTCGACTTTGCCGATCGCCGCGCGATGCATCCCGGCCAGTTAAGGCTTCAGGGAGTTGAGGGCGTTTAGAGTTGAGATCCCTGCCGTCACTTTGCGCTACAAAAGGGGGCCCATGTTCTGAGATGCAGCCGTGTAGCCTTCAAGCGGCTGCCATGGATTCTCTGCGTGTTGCGGAGTAAGCCTAGATCAGCATAGCATAGCAAAGCAGGGTTTGGCTCAGTTGAAAGAGATGCTAATCGAAGCATGCGCTGCGAGTTTGGAGAGCAGCCGCACTCTATCGCTCTCAACGGCATGGGAAATGGCACGTTACGAAGGGGTACGTATAAGCCTAGGAATCTATTTTTGGGCCAGGAAACTCAACAGCCAGGCAGCTAGGTTTAGGGTTTAGGGTTGGAGGTCACTCAACAAAAAATACCCCAGCATCCCCCCTGAAGTTCACGTTGCGGTCTTGTTGGTAAACTCCTGTTTCTTGGTGAAGGGGCTGGGAGCTAGGGTTTGGGTTCAGATGGTTCCATAGTTCCCCTTAAGTAGATAGAACATGGCTTTGGGCATCATAGAAGATCCCCTCTGTATTCTATCTACTTAAGGGGGACTATAGGCATAAGCCTAAACCCTAAGTGCGGTCCATTTTCTTTTCCCCGATTTTCTATCTATTTAAGGGGGACTATAGATGTTTTCAAAACTTAAGGTCTGCCAGCACTCCATGCAATGAAGATCATGCCTGAATACATTTTAAGGGAAGCAAATAGTCTTCATAGGGTCCTTCTTGGGCTTCATGTTAGTTTGGGGCAGCGCATGTGGACTCCAGAAGCTGTCCTGTCTTGTTTGCATACCGCAAAGACGTGCAGTCAGTTGCATGAACCTTCCACAAGTCACTGATGCGTTGTGTCAGCGAATAAAACAGCATCATGCAAGCCGGTTTTTTAGTACCTAGGTGGTTTCGTTGTTGAAGTCTCCCAAAACCTGAGCACATCATGCATTTCTGAGGTGCACGTCTGATGCGGGCTTCCAGCAGTGACAGGCAAGGACTGCACGCACAAGACATCCAGCATTACGCTCTTCACGCAACCATCCTGATAACTATACGAACCTTTCTGCTCGACACCCTGATGGTTTTAGTCGTCGTCGTCGTCGTCGTCGTCGTCGTTGTTGTTGTTGTTGTGGTTGTTGTTGTTCTTGTTTTTGCTCTTGCTCTTGCTCTTGCTCTTGCTCTTGTTGTTGTTGTTGTTGTTGTTGTGGTTGTTGTTGTGGTTGTTGTCGTGGTTGTTGCTGTTGCTGTTGTTGTTGTTGTTGGTGGTGGTGGTGGTGGTGGTGGTGGTGGTGGTGGCGGCGCTGGTAGCATGAAGCTGAAATCTTCGAAGCTGACGCCCTTGTCCGTACTGTGGTCCCTCAGATTAGTTTGGGCACTGCAGCATCTCAAGCCGATACATGTTGTGGTGTTGCTGCCAAAGCCCTCCATGCTAGTATAAGAAACTCTATACGGAAAAAGCAATGCTCAATTGACCATCCATGCTGCTTTCCCACAAAGGATGCGATTATGCAAAAACACACACGCACAATCCTGCAAAACGGTCGGTGGACTTTTGCAAGTATTCAGACGTCCTTGCAATACGAAGTGCGCAAAGCCAGGGCAACCTGAAGAAGATCTTTGGGTCGCTGCGGCGTGTCTTGCTTGGCTGCGGTACTTGGCATGGGATGAGACGGTTTTTTCAGAAGAATCCCTCATTCCACCTCAGATTTAAAGCCGGGCGCTCATGTATGGAAGATCCAACGCCAAAAGATGGCACAAATATTGCTTGGCTCGGCTGTAAATCCTGGCCGAGCATGTAATGAATGTAATGGCAGGTTTTGCAGCGAGGGAGTGCGCAATCCCGATGCCAGGCCACGAAAATCCCAAAATGGCGGTGTCTGCAGTCAAAGGCAAAGCCTTCCACAGGAGCCCTGGCCAAAGGTGTCAACACGGAGCTCCCAGTTAATGATCCAAAACCGCAAAGAAAATAAAGCTTGGTGAGAAGCGTGGCGTGGGAATGAAGTAGCACTGCCATAGCTAGATAGGTCTTGGGCATAGAGCCAGGGACCATGCGACGTTGTTTGGGTGGGTTGGGTTGCCGAGAATCCTCATACTTGGGCCATATCTTTATGGAGTATGCAGGGTTCTCAACACGATGAGCCACTGTTTGGTCTTTGTTTGTCAATCTCCTCTTTCAGGGTACGCAGGCAAAGTCAGTCCCCGTGTCAGAGCTGCTTATTCATTGGCGCGGTGGCTAGCGTGCATTCCATCTCTCTCGACGGTGCTGGAAGTATGTGGACTTCTGAATGCCTGCTGACGTTTGCTCCAGCTTCAGTGGGGTGATCGGCACAACCTCACAAAATTCAGCCTCATTAAATGCACAGTGCTCTTCTAGCAACTTGGTGTGCAGCATTTTGGACTAGGAACATGCATGATTTGAGAAGTAGAACGACATGTTTTCCACACATTGACTTGACATCTTCATGATAGAAGCAGCCAGCCCATCCAATCTACAAATCTACACTGCATTGACACTGGCCCAGCTGGGCAGAGCACATTCAATTGCTGGACTGTTAAATCTTGACACTGTTTCCACTTTATAGCTTGGTATCATTCAGTCATACGAGCAAGCTATAGTGTCGTTTATGCGAACAGCAAGGCCCATGATGTTAAAGTACCTGTTTCTATGACCCAGGCTAAATCTCGAGGCCGCACGCCTGAAAGGATTTCGAGCTATGGACGGCCACCGAGAAAAATCGGTGGACCAGTGGGCGTCTCAGTTGCTGGAGAGGTCAAAGCCAAAGCTGTAACATTCACCAGCTCTAGCAACCCACCCACGTCAACTTCTCACGATGTGCGCCCAACAGATGGCAATTATACTCACATTCTTCGAAGGTGTCTGCGAGCAGCAGTAAGGTAATCGCGCCCCGGTGATGTGATTGTTTTTTTTGGAAGCAGGTGACAGAGCATTGATGCCACGGGGTAGATGCATGGATGGCAAGTTCAAATTGTTTTGTTCGAACAGTTCGCAGGTGCCGTAGAGATTCCCATGAGCTTCGCAGCTTTTGGTTTGCATAGTGCCAGAAGATGCAGTACAGAGGAGAATCCCTATATCCAAGATCCCTGGCGTTACTTTGGGCTACAAAGCAGAGCCCATGTTCTGAGATGCAGCCATGCAGCCTTCAAGCAGCTGCCATGGATTCTCTGCGTGTTGCGGAGTAAGCCTAGATCAGCATAGCATAGCAAAGCATGGTTTGGCTCAGTCGAAGGGGATGCTAATCGAAGCATGCGCTGCGATTTTGGAAAGCAGCCGCACTCTATCGCTCTCAACAGCGTAGGAATGGCACGCGGCGTAATCTGTGAACCATTATATATCATGTAAAGGAAGAGGGTTTAGGGTTTAAGATTGCTTTCCATTACTTTTCTTCCCCGTTTCTTCATCAAAATCTGCCTTACCCTTAGCTTTCTCCCAATCAAAACACTCCTCACTGGGGACCCATAAATCCCTAGCGTCCCAAAGTGATTAGGCTTTCTGTCGGCATGCTTGCGTCGCTGATGCAGCTCCAGGCCAGATCAAATGTTCCCAAGGACGTTCCCAACGAATTAGGGTCCCTGTCATGATGTGTCTAGAAAATGAGATTTTTTTGGTAGTTGAGGGTGTGCAGGGGGCTACAACCCCGTTCGATTGAGCAAAGCACTTTTTCAAATTTTCTCAGGTTTTGTGTAGGGTTTATGCAAGTTTGCAGTTGGCCTCTCCAATGCTGGCCATTTGTACTTCGTAGGGGGCTCTCCTTACATGGCCTGTGCTCCAAATGCTTTTTGCAAGGTCCCTTTTTGTCGTGTGGGTGTTGGACTTCAACCTCTTTGTACGTTAGCCTGACCAGTTCTCGATCTCCCAGATTCTCTCGATGCGTTTACGGCAACTTTGAAACGTTCAACGCGCATCTCGTACTAGTTTTTTGGGCTGACATTTTGTAGCGAGACCCTAAGCCCAAAACCCTAAATAGTAGCTTCCATTTTCTTTTCCCTTGTCCCTAAATAACCACTATATAATCCCATATAGCACCTGTAGAACCCCTAAATAATCCATGTATGATCCCTGTATAACCCCTATATAATCCCTATAGCCCCTATAACCTTTGGAGAAGCTCAAGGCCGAGTCCTTCATCTTAAAGCTTCCAGAAAGCGATGCGGATCGGGTCCCCAAACAATCCTGGCTGAATGGGGTATATTAGGGTAATCTTGGGGTTATATTGGGGTAATATTGGGGCTATATAAATCCACGCAACATTCCGTCCTTATCATGCCAAGGCGAGGCATTGAATGTTGGCCAGATTGAACTTGAGATGTTACAAAATCTGAACTCGTTTCATCCCTGGGCGCCAAAACGCTCAGGCCCATTTGCAGATAGCATCCCATAGTCCGTCGGAAGGCATGGCTTCTATCATGACAAGCCCGCCATATGTTTTAGAATAGACTTACCTGCAGTGGATGCAATAATTCATGCTGTGCCAGTGCCGTATGTCCCAGAAAGATCCACAAACTACAGTAGTTCAGGGTTTGAATGCTATAGTCCAAACTCCTAGTACCCGCCTTGATGACCCCAATACTGTAGGAGTCCCCCATATCATCCCTTCTAACCCCTTTGTATCTCAGGGCTGCCGGGGCTACACCCCGATTGACTCCGGCCGGGCTGTGGCTGACTTGAAGGAACTCCGGGCAGCGACACCCGCCGCAGAGGCGGGCAGGCTTGCGATGTTGAGGGCTATATGGTTTAGGGATGTAGGGTTTAGGGTTTGGGGGTTTAGGGTTTAGGGATGTTTGGGGTCTAGAATTTAGGGTTTAGGGTTGAAGGCTATAGCTGGGGGATTCCAAAAAACAGGGGGCCCTTTTAAGGGTACCCATTAAAGGGATTCTAGTGTTTGCCTCCGCTAGAAGCGTAGCAGTCTGATCAGGGTGATGTTAAGTAAGGGCTGTGTATAGGTATATGATAAATATCATCCGGCTGTGATTAGGAGAGGGCAGTATCGTAGGTATTGCGTTCAAGTTGGTGCCAGGCAATGAAGGCTTTTGATCTACCTACAGTGCTACAGGTAGTGCTACGCCAACTTTCCAGTGGTGTGTTTGAGCCATGAGGGTTTATGATTCGAAAGCATGCTCGGTTTCGCATTTGGAAAACTTGGGTGATGCACCTTTATATACCCTATTATAATATAGTAGTGTCCATTTTCTTTTCCATTATAGTAGTTTCTGTTTTATTTTCCATTATCCCTATACAACTCCTCGAGCAATGCGGTTGTCAGTTCAGCCTTGAGCGTGGAGCGTTTGGAGCTGAGAGGAGGTCTGCAGCCACCACTCCACCACTGCAACAGTTTCAGCAAAGCGTAGAAACCAAGGTGGTTGTCAAAATTATGGTCCTTGTTTGGGTACCCTAAATGTTAGGTGCCGTATTATAATAGGGATCTAAAAAGGGCCCATAATTTTGAAAACCACTCAAGTACACTCCAAGGGCCACAGCATTTTGTGGCAAGGTCTGCAAACGGGCACCGTGTATTCGCTTTGTCAACCCTTTCGGACAGTCTTGGAATACTTGATCGTCATTGGCCCGGGTAGGTGCCGCTCTTGAAATTCCCATGAACCAACGGGTTCTGCTCTGAAGACAAGCCCTTGACATGTAATGCTTGTCCCTGACAGGTTACGCCTTCATAAAAAGAATTACTATGCGTCTAGAGATGCTGGGCTTTCGATGTTTTAAGCAGTTCTAGAAACACCTGAAATCCATTCGCCTGGAAATTCGTAGCTGGTAGGCGGCTCAGTCCTGAGTTCCGAGTTTTTTAACCCCAAGCAACTCTTGAGTTCCTGGAGGCTCGCCAGCAAGTTCGGGAGGATTTGCAAAGCTTCTGGTCCAGGTGCCTCTTCAGTTTCTGCAGCGACTCGCGGGGTGGTTCAGAGCTTGGCTGGTGAATTATAATAACAATAATAACAATAATAACAACAATAATAACAATAATAACAACAATAATGCTAATACTAATTACAACTATGATAACAACTATAGGTCCCCCCCAATCTAAATCTAGTTCGTAGCTCAGGTCAACAAGTACCTTAAGTATCGATTGGATAGAGCTGATCCTCCCATACTCCGGGATGCAAAGCCTTCAGAGTAGGTCTCAAGTGCCCCTACCACACAGTCAGGGAGTTCACTTGATGGTGCCCAGGCTCCCGTCTTACGAGTATTACTATGAAAAATTGTATTGTTACTCTTGCTATTGTTAGTATTTTTTGAGTTTATTTTTAATGTTATTGATCTTATTAGTGCCTTTATCCCATTATTAGTATGTATAATAGTCTTATTGTTATTCTTGAATCATTGAAACAACCTCCCGGCATCATGGTGTTTCTGTGACTTATATATCCCTACATGGGACATTCAAGAGTCCTATGCAATCCCCATTCATCCTAGGGCACCCTGTCTTGAGAAGCCCCCTTATGTTAATGGCGCTTGAAAGGGAATTGAGGGGGGTGAATATAGATATCTTATCATATGGGGAAATATGTGGATGGTTATTGGGATGCACTCCCCCACTCCTTTTGGCACCAGCTTCTCATACTTAACCCGAACTCTACCCATACCCAGATATCCCTCTACATCCCTACGAATCCCTATGCATCCCTGCAGCTTCTTTCAAGGCCCCTTTAAGCACCTGCAAGCTATTTAGGAAGTGCTCGCCCTGGGCCAGGTTGCGCCGACTGCGCCGCGGGCGCAGGTGGAAGCCGTAGGTATTCTCCTAGAGATCAGTTGAGTACAAATTTATCTTGGGATACAATGGTCCCAACATAGAGGAAGATCACATATCTCATTTGGTTCACCACCGAAACAGACACTACTCCGGTGAGAATCCCCAAAAACGGGGACAACCCCTATACATGACGATGGTATCACCCAGATTATATCGGGATATGCAAAACTTCAATCCCCAATGTTTTTGGAACTCCACCTGTAGAAGCTTCATGGGACTGCCCCAAAAAGGCAGGGGACCTCCCAGAAGTTTGGGTTAGTCCTTCGCAGAGGGTTTTCCCGGTGTTCAAGGCGCTCGCAATCGGGATTTATCCTAGACCGCTGAAGTTTATAGGGTCGCAGGTGCAGCACAGGAAATGGTATTCGTAGGGTCGTAACTAATGGCAGCTTACCATTTTGGGACTTTGGAGGACATGCTTACAGGAAGAGTCTCCCAGGTTGAGGGCGTCATGCACAGGCCATAATTTGGAGACATTACACGAGCTGTTTGCAGTATTCTACTCAGGCCTATCAACAAGATTATGAGGTTGCCGAGCTGGCGAGCCCATAGCGAGCCCCCGTCTTCTCTTATACTTCTGGTCCGCATGATGAGGGTGATTTTGCCACCCTGCTTTGGAGATATACCCCAATTTCAAGGCCTCAGACCTAAAACCACCCCAAGTTCCCAGACCTTTAAACCCTCAACCGGCCCAATTTGCAAAAGGTCGAGCCGGCGCCATGACAGTGGCAGCCGCAGCCGTTCCGAGGCCCGACGCGACAAGAAGCGCCCGGGAGCCTGGCCTCTGCCTCTTTTGCCAAAGTTTAAAATATACCCTATAATCCCTATATAACCCCATTATGGTAGTTTCCATTTTCTTTTCCATTATCCCATTATAACCCCAAAAAATACACCCTAAGGTTTTTTTTCATGGCAGCAAAGATGACTGGGTTGCTGTTAAGGAACGTAATTTTAAGTTCCTATCTGGGGGCAACCTTATTATTTACTTAATGTACCCATTACAGTGACTTGAATGAAGTTGCTTAGCAGCAACCCAGATGATTGTTCTATGTCGTGCCCATAATGCAAACGGTTACATATGGGTATAGTAGCAGCGTTCGTACGACCACGAATATCCCGGTCTCCCAGATTCTTCTACTTCTACCTGGCTTAAGCGGGTGGAGGAGTAGGTCACGAGGTTTCTGAAGGGTTTGGGATTGGAGGGTGACAGGTTTGAAAAACCACTAGTTTGACATAGGTTTTCCCTGGTATTGGAGGCTTTCTTCTGGGTGTCCGGGGAAGAAGGAGCTGTACAGTGGTCATTCTTGGAATCAAATGGGACCTCGCCTTTGGTGTTTATTTCGCAAAGTAGGGATCTCCCAGCCTACCTAGGAAAGCCTCGAAATCTAGGGCTATACTCATCATCTTTAGTCTCCTGTGGATGCATGATGTGACCCTGGTGTGGACGCTAATAGGCCCGTCAAACTTTTGTTGATCTTGCATTTCGGGTCCCTAGCATAAACCTAAACCCTAAACCCTACTTCTGAGAATCCCCCTGGATAGGTAGCCCACAAGCCCCCAATCTGACTTGTCAGGTCGCCGACGCAGGCGGGCAGAACGTAAAGGCCGCTCGCCCACTTCAGGAGTCTAATTCATACTAGCCAGTAGATCCATGTAATGAAGAATCAAATGGAAAAGACGGTGGAACATGAAAGCGAAACCGGGGATATGTAGGGTGTGGTGTGGGGCAGTAATAGGCTTTTGGTAAGCCCAAACCCTGTACTACAAGGACCCTATAACTATCACGTGGTTATGACAGGGTCCTAACTACACTGTCTAACAAATCAGCGGAAAGATCACTTATAAAGCCAAGTCCGACGTGTAGTAATTCAGGCTTTACCCTGCCGGGGCTTTTATGCCTGGAAGATGACATTGGGATGGGCGATCACACCCCTTAGGGCTTAAGCAGCTGAATAGTCATATCATGTTTGCATTGAGACCTTGAGCACGTGGAGTCAGAGTCATGGACAGGGTCTGTGGAACTGTTTCTTGGGAAAGGTTTCGCTCCTCCCCTGCTTATCATGCTATCAGCTTGAAGGCATGGTTGGAAAGAAACGGTTTCTGATCATGGTGATCCAGCAAGACAAGATTGCAAGAAGAAATTCTCAATTTTTGTAGCATGGCCTTTGAAGCCTTTACGCAGAGGAGATCTTCTTCTCTGCGGAAAAATCCAAGATATGCCCTTCTGTGCCCCTCATTTTGAAGAGGCACCTTTAGAGCATGACACTACAGTATCATCTTTTTCTGATTCACCTGAATACTGTGAAGTCACCAAAGGAGTGCCGCTTTTGCGCATGCTCCCCACCGAAGGTCACACATCGTCCAGTGGGAGCCAGCCAGGCTTGTTGATGACAGCTTGGTGTTTGCTTGAAAGTTGGAACATGGAAGTCCAGCAGTTGTTTCCAAAGGAGGTGCACGAACTCGGATATTCTGCATTCTGATGATTCAATACGACCCCTTTTTATGTGCGGGTTGGCCAGGAGAATTGCCAGTTCTAGGGCCTTGCCAGCATCTGATAAACTTCATTCTCCATGGAGGCGTTTTGGAGGGCTCCTTGCAAGTGGGTTCCCATGATTTCCATTCGTGGTATCTCTTTGATAAGCAACTAAGTGACACTTCCGGCTCTCATATGGAGCACACATTAGGTCTCCCAAATGCAGTTCCCCTTCTGTGTGTGCCGTTTAGCAAGGACCGCATCATTCTTGGGGCCAGCTGTTCTTGCAGCCCGGTCCGACTTGACCAGCACATACGCATCCTGCCATGAAGGAGGTTGAGAGCACAGACCGTGGCAGGCCATCGGCACGGACGCGGCAGTAGTGACAGCGTCTCTCGGCGAAGTGCCTCTCACAGTCCGAGAAAATGGTCGTGGGGAGAGATGCCGGTTGTTCAGTTGTTTTGTGGTTGTTTCTTCTTCCGTGCCTTCTGAGTTCTCTTTAACCTGGAGCCGCACCTTCTTCATCAGCTGTATGCGACTTGCATGAATCATGCCATGCAATTACTTTTTGCTGAAGGCCTTGCGCATCCACCGAAGTCTTGCAAATCCCTGCATGGGCACAATCCAAGTCAAAACATCCCACATGACACCCTGTAGGAGCCCCTGGCACGGTCGAAGCATGCACATGGCAACAGACCTTATGGAAGCACATGAGTATGCGGATATTACTCACACTGTGGTCACCATATACTGCCTAAAAAGGTAAAGCCACAAAAAGAAGCATCAACACACGGACCATAGCCTTGACGACACACGGGCATTAATATGAAAACCTGGTATCAGATATTAGGCTTATATTGGGATAAGGGAAAAGAAAATGGAAACCACTATAGGATATTGGAGTTATATTAGGGTTATATAGCTCCTGGCATTGACGTCCAAACCTTGGAAGCGTCGCAGACGCAATGGATTGGAAGAAGCGGCGTACGTTGGCAAGCGGCCAAGTGAAGAGGCTCGCCAGCCTGGGCCCTAGCTTTGTGGGTTCGGGTTTCTGGTTTTGGGGTTTAGGGTTTAGGGTGTTCCGAATTCGGGCGTGCAACATGGGGCTCCAGCTTCGTTTTGCTGCATGCGGGGGCTCTGGGAGTGTGCAAGAAGTGTCCATACACCACTTATACATATTCACATATGTATACTTCCCAGTCGGCACCCAAGCAATTCTTTTACCGCTGTCCCTAGATTAATGAGCTGGCAACATTCTCGTTCTTGAGAAAAAACGTGTGTGCTCGTAGGCTTTGGTAATCTGGTGTCATATCTGATTTGCGAACATTCAACCAATTTGGGTTCATCTCGAAGGGGAGCCATGTCGGAGTGTCCTTTGGAGAAACAAGGTACTGGACGTTATCTGACTGGGGGTTAGTAGGGAATGAGAGAAGGAATCGGGTGTATGCAGGGATTATGTTCCCTGGTTCCCTACTATCCACCAGTAAGTCATTCACTGGGCCTCAGTCCTAGACCTTGCCAAGCTAGATGGAAGCCGTCTGAAGCCGTAGATCCGTAGTTTTTCGAAGCATTCACGACCAGTAACTCTGATGATAACCGCATCTCCGGTCGCAAGGAGTCGGCTGCAACAGTGACACAAAACCCTAAACGCAAAATCCTAAACCCGTCCAGTCAGCCATGTCTCTTGCAGCGCTACATATTCATAGCCAGCAATCAAACGTTTTGCTCAAGCCCGTGTCACATGATGCCTGCAAACTTCCCGAACCTATTGCAGCAAGCTGAGCTGTGAGCAGATCCACACAAGTTGAGAGAACCCTGGAATCTATGAGCCCAGATCCTGATGTGTGCTGCTACTCCACCCGAAGAAAGTTCCAACTGAGTTGTGGGCGGCACCCACGGCAATGAGACAAACGGCGTACACCTGGCAAAGCATTTCTTGAGGATCGCCGCTCTGCAGGGTAGGCGTGTTCAAGGCTTAATGGTTGGGGCTTATAGGTTATAGTTTTGAGGATTCAGCACATGGTCTCACTCTAACAGAAGTACAAAGGATTGAAGGCGACACTCCTGCCGAAGTCAAGCTGAAACTTGCTGGGGTGTAATGCCCATTTTGGGGCCAGGTATCTTTGAAGAACACTCATTTTAGACTAGTACTGGGTACCTTGTTGGGGGGAAGGGCTTCCCAACTTCAAGGACTGGCGTGCAAAACCGGCGCAGCGTTTGTTCCAACAGTATGGGGCCGTGGAGAATGAGGCCCCCTTGCTACGAATAGTGCCAAGTCCATGATGCAGGAACCCGGCCTTGGTCAAGCGCGACTCCTTCGAAACAGAGGCACGCACACTGTACTCGTGGTTCAATTTTAATGACTTGACTCGACTGCACCTCGGGCAGTAGTCTGCATATGTATGTATATGTCTGTTTCTGGCAAGCTGAGAAGCAGAGATACCACACCCTCAGGTCGGTCTTTCAAGTTATATGCGCTGTTGCAGGTCTTGCTCTCCAATGTGGCTGCCATAGAGCAGAACACGCGCTATGTGGAAGAGGACCTGAACAGGCAGGGCTCCATATGTGTGTGTCTGCCAAACTGAGGGTCCCTACGTAACTAACCATCACCATCAAAGTTTTGTTTTGTAGGATCCTCGATGCAGGAACACAACAACAGGGACCACTGGGCAGACCCCATACGTTTTTGGCATTGTTGAATGTTGAATGGTTGCTACTTTTTTACTGATGTCAATTGCTGGCCTTCGCAGTGCAGCGGTCCAACAAAAATATCGCAGTGCTTCAGACACCTAAGCCACTCTTAGCAAGCTTTCCAGCTTCAGTCGGTGTACCTGTGCCCTGGTGCCAATTCCCAACGCCCTTGTATGAGAACAAGCAAACACAGTTCAGAAAAGAGGGGCGCGTGTGCAGAATTTAAGGATTTGCTTTGTTGAGGAGGAACATCCTCACAGTAAAAAGCGGCGAGCTCCCCCGCCCACACAATCTCGAACTGCTGATTTGGACATGTTTCACCTCGTTCTGCCAAGTGACACATTTCAGGATGGATAGCTATCTATACAAACATTTAAGCCCCATTGACAAAATACATACACAGCTCATGGCCAGTAATTAAGGAACCAGAAGTCTGGGACTCAGGTGCTACCTCCTGGCAGATCTGCAGAGCGATGAGAAATCTACTTCCAGCCTGGAGCGCAAACGGGCGCGTGAGGCAGAAAAGCAGCTTAGAAGCCTGAGCTCTTTAGGGTCTTAGAGTTTAGGGTTTAGAGCTATTTGAGCTATAGTCTGAACTCCTTTAATGGGGATTATATAGGGGATTATGTAGGGGAGTATTACAGGGCTTATCAAGAGGGATACTAGGAGTTTAGAGTATAGCTCATTTGGGCTATGTAGGGCTCAGGATAGTGGTGAACCAAATGGAAAAGACCATGAAACCTTAGATTTTCTTGTGAAGGAACCTAACTTAAGTTACCATAATATGGATATATATATATATATATAGCAAACAACAAGGTTCCCTTACATCGGCAACACAGGAGCACACTTATCTGCAATATTCTTCATTTTGATGAGGCAGGAACCTGGACTGGTGATATTGGAGCTGCTCAAAAAACTCTATCCTTAAACCCTAAACCCTACACATAATCCTCAATAGGGGAGACTTCCAAAATCTCCTTGAAATCCTTGTCACTTGCAACAGATCCTTAAGTCGCTCGAGGGTACCCCTGTTTTCGAAACTCCTACTGCTGGCAGCTGATTTTGGGTGGGCATGGGACTTTCAAGCTGCAGACAGAGATGTGGAAAATGAAGCCTTTATTGACGCAACGTGAGGTTTGACTGGACATCTTGCGACTCCCTTTCACTCCTTCTGCGTCTCCTACTTCCCTTGTTCGAGTGGTGCTTCAAAAATCACATGCTCACATACTTGATGTAAGCAGACATACCGCATACCCACGCTACACAATCATACGAACTGAAGTCTTGTAGAGCTCCAAAGCCTAGCTTTGCATTTACTTTGAGTGCACCTAGCAGACCCCCACTGGCGCCACGCACAAACCTTATGTGCGATGTGCTCAGCAGAAAGCGCTTCTGTTGAACATGTATTTGCGAAGTACTCCCCGCAGAACAATGACCGCTGCATGGCGACCACACAGCCAGGTATGTTACACGGCAGCAAGGCAGATTGCCAATCAGATGGGCTCAAGTCTTTGGCAAAGGTAGTCTGGCAGATTCACAAGGCGATCTAAAGCCACACTCACAAACAACTTAGCTTGTGTAGGGTCCCAAGAAATATGAAGAGGCACTTATGTAATCTGTCAGGTGGATGCGGCGTTGGGCCCGAAGAGCTCGGAAACGCCACGCTGCGCGGGAGTCTGAGATGCTGAGCATGTGGGTTTCCAGTTGAAATGCAGCAGCAGCAGCAAGCATTTGAGGACTTAGACACGTAGCAGGTTTGGCTGCCATTTGGCGCGCTCAGAGACCCGTTCACCGTTCAGGACTTTATTGTCGATTTGCACAACACGACTGCGGCCACGGGTGTTGCTTTGCTGATGGCTCCGGATGATGAGAGCCTCGCTGGCACATGTGAACAGTCAAGAAGCAAGCAGGCTCCCTTCACCCATAGTTGATATAGTTGTTTGGAACATGATGCGCCCAACACTTGAGCACACATAGGGGCAGCCGCGATGACGAGGCGGTAGTCGTAAGGATGCGCACCAGTACTGAGTTTAATGTGCCTCCTTGCGTGGATGGACTGTCGCCGCTGCTCGCAAGGTTCGCTCATGAAGTGGGTCATTATCTCAGCACGCTCGATGACACAGTGAGGGCCGAGACCTTAAGCTCCACTCTGCTGCCACTAATATGTGCGCGTGAAGTAAGACTGGTTTAGCCATGTGTGTAGCTTGACAAACAGGGACAGTTAGTGTAAGCATCATGCAGATGTTCTCCCTGCATAATACAAACAACGTTTGTGGCCCAGGTTGTGGAGTGGAATGATCAGCCGGATTGGCCCCTTTGCCCTTCAGTCGGCCGCAGCGGGCTCACCTTCGAGGCGCAAGCTGAGCACTGGAAATAGCGGAGACCATGTATAATCATGCCAGAGTGATGTAGGGATGTTTTGCATGGCCTGTCTCTAATCGAGGGCCACTCCGGCAGAGTTTTGCCCCAAGGTCTCGGGCATGATTTGGGTGAGAAGGGGGCAGACCAGAATTTTGAGCAACACCTTGCGGCGATATGCCACCGCTCATCTGTTGAACATGATTTGCTTTAATAATCTATCTACTTAAGGGGGACTATATCCCCAATATCCGATATATACACTATTATGACATAGTAGGGTCCATTTTCCTCTCCATAATCCCAATCTTAACCCCCATATTCTACACGTTAGAATGGAAACCTCTTCTCGAGGGCCTGCAGTGGATGATTGCTAATACAGTTGATACTAAAAATCCTGCATGACCTTAGTATACTATAGTACTATTATTTGCCAAGGCTTAGGGTACTTAGGGTCATGCAGGATTTCTTAGGGTGTTGGCGTGGCCGCGTTCGTAAAACCTCGATGCCTGAAACCCAAACCCCATGTAATCCTAAATCCACCTCTGTTTCTATAAATGCTGATGATGAGCACTTTTCATTAGCAGGGATACGGGGATGAAATCCCTAACCCCTATAATGATATATTTCCTTATTCTCTACTAAACCCCCAGTAACTACTCTTCTACCCTTCTCCGTCTCCGAGGTGGGTCCCTGCCCCTGGGGCTGCTTAGAGCCAGAGCTCTTCCAGCGATCCAGGAGGCATTGGGAAACTTAACAGGCGGATCATTCTTGTACGAAGAGTACGTCCAGTAGTTTTTGCAATCAAGACTTTTGTAGCAGTAATAGCAGATAGCAAGAATACGAAGCATAGGAGAATGAAGAGCAGCCTTTGAAACTACCCCTCTCAGTGGGTTACGGGTTCGTACGTGTTGGGCCTAGGGCGTAGGGGGTATAGGGCTTGTATAGGACTTGCTTAGGAAGTACTGTTGTCAGGGCTTAGAGTCACATGCTCCACGAATTTTGCGAACGCTTGGAACTGTAAAGAAGAGCAAGATTGTTACTTTCCCGAGCATCAAAACTGGAATGTATAAGGCATTGGGTCTTATTTGTTTACAAGAACAAGTCTACGATCCCGGGGTGCCACTGGGAAGAAGAAAAGCTCTGCCTGGGAAAAGAAGCGCGCATCACAACGTGATTTGACACTTTACAGCGCAGGCTCGTTCTAGCTTTGCTGGACTATGTGGACAAGCACAACATGCTGATTGCCAAGGGCAGCACGAAGAAGGAGCAGGTGACGGGGCGGGGGGGAAGGGAAATCAGGGCATAGCAGGCGATCTGAACAATTCTAGTGCAAATTTGAGGTTTGGCCCGGCCTAACACTGGTACTGCAAGAATTGGATCACTCCACTTTTTCACATGGCAGTCAGGAAGATGCAAATCCTCCATTCGAACCCCATCTGACAAACCCAGGAACGTAAAGTCCCGAGATCATGAACAGTCAGTCCTGAGGCGATCTGCTGCCAAGGAAAAGCTAGCAGCTAGCCACTTGAAGTCCAGACCCTGCAACATTCTCAGGCTCGAACCTTTCTCAAATCCCAAGGCCTGAAAGCATGCAGATGAACGTCGGATGGGTTCCAAGAGCTGTCGCAAGCCGCAGGACTCCATGGTCAAGGAAAAACCTAGTTTGCCAGTAGTGCACTGAAGCCTTTAGGGATTCCGTTTGAACTGTAAACTTCAAAGCTTCTCCGATCTTCCGTTATCCCAGTCGGCGCTAAAACCCTCCAAGCCTAAATCCACACTTCTGGTTATGTTGGGGTTATATTGGGATAATGGAAAATAACATGGAAACTAAACCTCTGAAGCCCCGCGATCAAGGTATCCATGCCCGTGTACCGGGCCATTGGGATCTCCATGGACTACCCGCGGGCAGCAGATGGAGATCCCAAGGGCCATGTCAGGGGCTGAACTTCTTCGTTCCAGAATGAGGGGTCAGTATATTGGGGCTATATTGGGATAGAGACTCAAATGGAAAATGAAATGGGAAATAGGGAAAATGTAGGGCTTATGAGGGCAATATTAGGGTCATATTGGGGTAATATTGGGGTAGTATTGGGGCTATATTGGGGATGATGGAGAAGAACATGGAAACTACCATTTTATTATAGGTACAGTGTGCACTGTAGCTTAGGGTCTAGGGTCAAGGGTTTAGGTTTCTGGGGTTTATTATGGTTTGGGGTTTTGGGTCCCTAGCTGTCCTAGCTGGCACTGACTTGCGCTTCACGTAATTCATCCTGTGGGCGCGCCCCGAAGCAGTGAGCGATCCTGCGAGGATGGGCCATAAATCGGCACCTAATCTTCAGGGTTATATATAGTGTCCCTTAAGTAGATAAAATATGGAATTGACCAAATCATAATAAGATTCCCAATATACCCCATATTCTATCCACTCAAGGTGGACTATAGTTTGCAACGGACGAGCAAGAAAGAACCTCTTCTGTTGAGGGGAAGCCTCGAGATCAGGATTCCTGGTGAGTGGCCTTTTGTCCTGAGCTGGGCGTTCTTGTGCACGCTGGAAATGGGCCAAAACAACTCAAAGGACAGGCCCTGGGTTGGTGTGCAAGCCAGCAGCCTACAAGACTAACAGAAAGCCTGACAACCATACAATGTGCGGACATTCCCCCCTACACTGTTGCAGCCTCAAAGCAATTAACCCATGGTTGCGGAACTTTCGGGTCTCAAGAACGGAGGGAGAATTCAAGAAATTCAGGGTGCAGCCGGGCAAGGAGAAGTTCGGTGTAGGCAGTCATTCCAGATCCCCGTCCATCTTGCGCTGTCTAGATTGGGTGGTTTAGGACACAGCGCAGATTGTCTGGAGTTAGGCACACACCAGTCACAATGCATGAGGCCAATTTGGAGAGAGGTTGGACTCCAGCCAATTTAGCTGGTCCGGTAGAGAGTGGATAGTCGGATGCCATAAGTTTCAGGCATAGTTTCGTTATTTTTGGGGAGATAGCACACGCACTCACGAAGCGCATCATCTGCCCCGGAGTTTGCCTAATGCTTTTTTTTGCAGCTGCTGCTTCCTAGATGAACACGTGTTGTTCGGGTAGTCTTACCAGCTGCTGAAGCTTTCGGAAAATTATTGGCACATGCCGGAAGCTGCCTGGCAGAACTGACACACTAGCCAGCTTCATAATTAGAAGGTATTGGATTGTACGATGCTGCGACCACTGCCATGGAAATGCTGAATGGATCAGCAGTTAAAGCGCCTACGGTAGTGGACGTTCCTGCCTGGGAATGACTGCTTTGAGGCAGACCGATGCAGCAAGAGCAGGTAGAGTCAAAGGCTTCAGGGGACCTATTTGCGGAAGTACGCTACGAAGCTGAAGGCCTTCATATTGTGGGCTCTGTGGCTAGAAAGTCAAGCAGTGATGCCGAGGATGATGACGTGGGTGGCCCTGCCATTCTCGTCCCAGTGGAGGAGGCTTCACAAGATGCAGCGGTAGAAGCTGAAGCTGCAGCTGAGACAGTGCCGGATGCAGTTGCCCATGAGGAGGACGACGGGGCTGCCAGTGCTGAGAACAGCCACGACAAGGACGAGGTTGCCATGGGTCCAGGACACTTTTCCGCAGAGGCTGCATCCAGCAGGCTTGACGACAAGGAAGAGGAGGAGGCAGAGCACGCGGCACCGGCAGAAGCGGAACCCTCAAAGAAAAAAGCCAAGAAGAGAAAACAGTTCCACAAATCAGGATCTGCTAAACAGAGTTCTAGCAGCTTGCAGGCTTCCACAAGCTTTGGTCCGGTTGTGATGGGCAAACGGTCTGAGCCACACGTGGCTGCAACGACCTCTGCACAAGACGTGGAATTAACGCCCGTGGCTCCCAACCTTGGTCCTGGTCCCTCTGAGAAAGCGCAGCGCCCCTCAAGCTCAAAAGCTCCGAGGCTAGAAAAGGGAGCCGACGCCTTGCAGGAAAGTATGGCAGATCTGCCCGCTGAAGCCCCAGCTGCAAAGGCATCGTTTCCTTGTTTGCCGGCACAGCTGCCATTCCATTTCCGCTGGGATGTGCCATGCTTAAGGCTTGAGGGTGCTGAGCCGTGCCTCCCTTCAAGCTGGGAGCGAGCTATCGGGCACAGGATTGAGCGTGAATGGCGTCGCTGCAGGAAGGATCAGGAGCAGGCCTGGGTTTCAAATGGAAGTTTGCCGTTTGAGGTGCAAAGGCTGGCTGCCAGCTTGGGAGCCTCCTCGGACTCAACATTTGCTGGTGTCTGTGAACGGGCGCTCTCTGCGTGGTATACAGGAGAGGCAGTGCAATCACGACCACTAGTGCCTATGAAAGTTCTGGGCCTCGAGAAGGCCCCGCGGAAGCCTTTGCAACAGCAGGACTTAGAAGCCGTGGCCGTGCTTGGCAGCATGTGGTGCTACCTGACCTACGATCTTAGCAGTGACCCGCTCCTCGCTGGACTGGGCTATGCTGATGTCAAACCCACGAGCTTCTCAACCTTAATGTTTGTATACAGCACCCAAGTTGCAGATACTTCCGAAACCTACGAGCTACGTTTTGCACGCGTGGATCACTTTGATTTTGCGCTCTGCTTCCCACCAGCTCCTTATCCCTCCTGCGGACTGCCAATGCCAGAGGTTGACTTCGCAACAGTTCTTGGCTTGGACCCCCGTGCTGACATGAGTACATCGGAGGAAGGCATGCTCCAAGCCCGAGCAGTACTTACATGGCTTTTCTGGGACTGTTTTGATGAGATCTTCACGCCTAACTGGCCTAACTCTGCAGAGATAAAGCTTCGTGACAAGCCAGCCAGGACACTGCTGCCTTTTGGCGTCCATCGTCGCTTTGACAAGAAATTAAAAGATTGCACAGACCGGGCTGAAGCCCTTGGCTGCCTGCTTGCTACGATGCGGGCCAAGCCGTTTCAACTGCCCTTCCGCTGCACAGTGACCCTCGATGAGGCCCAGGCTCATCGTGAGCAGCATGGCGCGGGGCACACTCGGCTGGCTGCTGTAGAACTTGCATTCCAGAAGGCAGCGAGCGAGTACAATGAGATGCTTGATGGCGAATGCCTCCCGAAGCAGTGGCTCAGCGTCCCGCAGGACCAGGATCGGTGGCCTTTGCAGCTTGAGTCAGCAGATGAAGGCTCCTCTCAGGAGGATATTCGGGAAGTGAAGGCGCTGCCCGCGTCATGTCAGCTACCTTGCTCTTCCAAGAAGCTTGCGGTTGTGCACTGCAAAGGCATCATGCGGCTGACTGAGCTTCTTGGAGACCAGGATGGTCAGGCCAAGTCAAGACGACGGCTCACTAGTACTTCTACCGCAGATTTCACACCCAGGAATGCAGCCTCCAGCACGGAGCCTGGCAGTATCATCCGTGTGGAGACTGAAGACAGGGAGATGGACATGACACTCGACCTTTCAAGGCGGCCAGAGTCTTTGGGTTGAACATTCAAGGGCTCTGTTTTGGCCCATGCCTGATGGGACGGTCCAAGGATTCAAACATAGTACATAGAGTTCCCAAACCTTCATTCACATTGAAAGACCGGTGGACCCTTGAGGTGGGAGGATGAGGGAGTGCTCACGGTTGGCGATATCAACATCAACGATCATGCTCTCACAAGTTGCTCTGCTGAACTTGGAGAGCCACGTTTCTCGTTTGGTTGTTAGGGGATGGGGTTTGGCTGATGGAATTTGGGCATATGGAGTTGATGGTCTCTGGCCCATGTCATTTAAGAGCCACATGATGCTCGTGAAGATCTTACCAGTAGGCTCAGGGCATCTCAGGGCCTGATCCAGGCCCCACAGCCACCGCAACGTACTGACTTGCTTTTCTGACTTTATGTAGTAAGAGAGCTTCTGAGTACTGGCCAGTGGCAGGAGGACAACTCCGTTAATGTTATGTTTGCTGGACTTGTTTTCAGACAGCTTTCAATCAAGAGGCCTGAGGCCTCCACTGCCTATTCGGGTTGCAACTGTCGAGGTTGAGATGGAGTTTCAGAGGGGGGGTTGAGCTGCAGTTTGAGGGCGCCTACTGCTGGGCCATTTCAACATATTGGTCCAGCAACTTTATGTGCTTCAAGGGCTCCCTGATGACTCAGATTAAAGCTGCGAGAGCTCAGCGTATTCCAGGGTTTTTTCGATTTGGGAGCTAGTGAAACTCCTATTTAGATGGCCGTAGCAGATGCGGTAGCTTTTTTTTTTACTTCCTGCACAGAGAAGTGCAAGATAGCCCCCATGCTACAACTTAAGGCTCTGTTGCTGGACGCCTCACGAGAGCCACTCGGAATCCTTGCTGCCCACACTCCTCCTTGCTAAGGAGAGGTCCTTCTGGTCGTCGAGCAAATGGAGGAGTGTGCTCACGTCGAGTCACGCCACGAAGTTGAGAAAAATGTTGTGGTACATGTTTTAGCTCAAAGATGATGCGCCAGATCCTAGGTCCTTCACTGCGGGGACCTGCAGCGAGAGAGTTTGAAGCACCAACTGTCGCATTTGGCTCACGGCCTCCGGGCCATGCAAAGGGCCTCCGTGAAACATCAACTCCGGGGTGTTGGCCTGGCCGTCCTGGAGACAGAACGCGAGAAACCTCAGGATGCGCTAAGGGCATCATCTTTGGCCTCCCGCGCTCTGAAAGCCATCAAGAGGCAGCGAGGATCGCAACTCCCAGAAGCTGTCGAGGCAGAAGCATCGCATCTTGCGTCCAGCGTCGCATCTGCCTTGGATGTTCATGACGAAGACCGCCTAGGAAGGCAGAGTCGCCAACAAATCATGCTTGTTTCGGCACCTGAGGGGGTCCTGCGGAAGGAGGCAGAAGCTCGCAAAATGCTGCGCAGAGTACTCCCAAGCAGAAACAACAATGAGTTTCTTGGCGGCTTTACACCCTCCCAGTTCGATCAGGGAGGTCCACTTCAGCTATATTGGGCTGAAACATCCCAAAAACCATACGAGTACCAGCCGTATTTCTGCTCCGCAGTTCCAGAAGCTGACCCTTCCGCGCTGTTGTCTCCTTCTGAGCGAAAGTTTTTGGTCAAGCGCTTGGTAACCGACCCCTTGCTGGACAACAAGTTGCCCAGCCTGGCTGGCAGCCTCATGGTTGGCGGCGCCAACATGGACCCACGAGACCCGGTAGCGTTTAAGGATCTGTGGTACCCTCCACCTGATCTCAACCTGACCTGCTTTGAACAGCATGTGAAGAATGATGGATATCCTAAGCACAAGGATCGTTGATACACCCTGAATGTGAAGAGCGTAGTGCAGTACTGCAGTTGTATTACCCCTATAACAGGATACGAGATCACAAAATGCGGAACCCGCAATTCGAGAGACTCCTTGGACCATTATGAACCACACGTCTTCTAGAATCCTTCCCCACAACCAGTTTTTCACAATAGTTCATACACCAAACTTAAATGCTAATCCTGCATTCCCTATTTATCCCTAGTTATAGGGCTGAGGGTTGCTAGGCCTTCCCTTTTTTTTCTCTGAAACTCCCATGTCTGGATGTAGACCAGGAGAGTTGCAAGCCGATGGCATCATCGAAGGAGGTCTCGTCAACCTGCAAAGCTCCGCGGGGCTTTTGCAGCTATGCGACCCGGCCTTGGGAATATGTGATGTAGTGACTATATAGGTATTCATGGTATTCTCTGCCTCGAAAAAAGCACGATTCACGCACCAACAACGATTCACGCACTCCGATTCAAGCACGAACGATTCAGAAATTATCCGATTCACGCACCAATGATTCATGCACTACGCCAGACCGATTCACGCACCAAAAAGACCCGATTCAAGCACCAAAAAAAGCCGATTGATGCCTCAAAAGGAGCCTTGGTTTCGGGCTTAGGGTCTAGGGTCTAGGGTTGGGTTGGTTTAGGGCTCAGAGTTTAGGGTTCAGGGTTTAGGGCTTAGGGTTCAGGGTTAAGGGTTTAGGGCTTAGGGTTTAGGGCTTAGGGTTCAGGGTTTAGGGTTGGTTTAAGGCTTAGGGCTCTCTTAGGGTTTAGGCTTTAGGGTTTGGGGTTCAGGGTTAGTTTAGGGTTTAGGCTTTAGGGTTCAGGGTTGGTTTTGGGCTTGGGGCTTAGGGTTTAGGGTTCAGGGTTGGCTAAGGGCTTAGGGTTTAGGGTTCAGGGCTTAGGGTTTAGGGTTCAGGGTTTAGGGCTTAGGGTTCAGGGTTGGTTTAGGGTTTTGGGTTCAGGGTTGTTGGTGTGCCAGGCAGATGTTTTGGTGCACGAATCTGTCTGTTTGGTGCGTGAAGCAGCGTTTCTTTGGTGCACGAATCGGTCCGTGGTAGTGCGCGAATTTTGGCGCGCGAATCCGACGGGGTAGTGCGCGAATCACGTGTTTCGCGTAGGGCGCGAATCTGCCCTTTTGGTGCGCAAAATCTGCGTTGTTGGTGCGCGAATCGGTTTGAAACCTTCTCTGCCTAGGGTTAAGGGATTAGGGTTTAGGGTTTAGGGTTGGTAGGGAATGAGGTTGGGGTTATATAGGGATTATGGAGGAGAAATGGAAACTACTACAACATAATGGGGTATATACTGGGGGTTGGTAGGGCATATGGGAACGTATTCTATAGGTGTTATATCGGCATTGTTTTCCCTACAAAGAACCAGACAGCCTTGTTCAGCCTACTATGCTTGCAACTAGTAGTTTCTGATTGTACGGGATTTCTGATTTAACTGTATGGTGGCTCATGATGGAGGATGTCACATTCGGGGTCTGGGGTCTCGGGAGTTTTCCCGAAATCTACGAGCCCCAACTTAGCGGCAGCCCTCAGTCCCTAGGAGAGGCAGGACTTTTTCGGTGTAAGATAGATAGCCATCCACAGCCCAACATGTAAATGGATTACCTAGTAGCGGTCCCTCTTAGACTGTCCATCAGGTTCCTGCGCCACTACACGTGGGTTGAGTTTAGATTTTACTTTGGAACGCCTACAGCCAGAAGTCAATTGCCTTTCCCAAGAACCCCTTCCTGAGTACGGATCCTAATCTATCATCTCCCAAGAACTTGCAAAGCCCGGTGGAGGGCCGTCCTTTTCTGTCAAGACGTCTAGGGAATAGGCCTGTGCCATTGTGAGATTAGAGTTTGCATTCCTGCATTCCCCACAGGACCTGGGGCCCAGTGAGAAGCGCCCTGGAAAAATGCGCTCGCAGCTAGTGCCCTAGGATGTCCTAGGATAGGATCAGGCCTTACGCTCTTTTCTCACGAAATGCCACCTCCTTGTAATCGTTAGCTTTAACACCCTTAACCCTGAACTGTGTACCCTAAACCGGAGACCCTAAACCAGGCAATGGATTCATCTTCCCCTGGAGATCCAGAGGATGGCGTTACTTCATCCCACTGCGCCGATGCGATACGGCACTGGTCCTGCGCCACTTCGGCCCGAAAACTGCAAGCTACTTTGAGACACTTGGCTGCGTCTCTAAACCAGGGGTCCTTCTTCCGTGCCCGTGCCATGGAGATGTAGAGATTACTCTACTTCCATCTGTCAAAGCCCTGTCAAAAGATGCCCTGAGCGGTCCCTGAACTTTCCCTAGATGTTGCTAAGCTTTTCGTGGTTGTGCATTGTAGCTGCAGGGGAAAACCCTCATGCTTGGCATACTTCATTTGAGCAGAGGCTCCTGGCTCGTTCTTAGCTTGTTTTTTTTGGCTTGTGTTCGGAACCATTGCAGATGCAAGGTTCCTTGAAACCTACAGCCTCTGGCTCTCTGAGCAGTACCCTTTCGCTGTGCTTAGCGCAGGCAGCAATGCTAGTATGTTTCTTGGCACAGCCCATTTCAGCAAATCTGAATCCTCGAACAAGTTCTTGGCTTTTGGCTTGGGGACTGAGGTAGCTTCTTGTTCATAGCCTCCTTGTTCGGAATATTCGCAGAGTTGTCTGGGCCTCCAAATGCTGAAGCAGCGTTTGCCTTTTGGAAGATCATTCGTCCCAGCTTTGGCATTTGCATGTGCATTTGGGGTGCTTGCTTCTGCATTTTCTGGCGGCGACGTGCTGCGCAGCTTGCCTTCAGCTGGGCAAACGGATGGATTGAGGAGGGTGATGACTTGAGAAGCTCCAGCGCCATCCAGGGGTTGGCACAGGTTCGCCCCGAGCTTGCAAGCCGCTGGCGCCAGAATTTCGACAAAGCTGATCTGTCAAAGCAAGAAGAGACGTTAGACGTGCTGCGCGCTGTGCTGCGAGCTCCAAGCTCCTCTGCTCAATTTGGCAACCGTGCCTTGCGATACGACATAGCGCACTTCGATGAGACGTGCTACCAGAGCAAGTATGCACAGCTGTGGCGGTCGTTGTTTGCTTACTTGGCAAGTGGTTGTCTCATAGTGCTTGCGTACGGGGCCACGTATGGCACACTGGCAGCCAACTATGTGTTAGGTCTTAGCAATACAATGCTTGGCTACATGGTCATGGGCTTCACAACCAGTGTTTTTGTTCCTCTCCTGAACACGCTGCACCATGCAGTTGTACTCATCACCAACGAGTACCAGCTTTTCCGCCAGGATTGTGATAAAGAACGCGACTTGCTTGACAGACTCTTTGTTTTTGCTTTGTTCAACACGTACAACAGTCTGCTGTGGATTGCCTTTGCTGAGCGCAATATGGAGCAGCTTCGCATCCAGGTGATGTTTATCATGGTGTTCTCCCGAGCCATCGTGAACAACATGATGGAGTTTTACTGGCTTCTATGGATGAAGCAGATTCGCGAATCTGCGTCTAACATGCACTCAAGCAACTTACAGAAGACGATCTGGCGTCGAATGCTTGTCGTGTTGACTGGCGACTTCCATGATGAAGTAAGTGATGCTGCTGGAAGTCTGCAAGGCCCTGAGGGTTGGATGCTGGGCCAGCTCTCCGATCAGCTAACACGAGACACCTCCTTCGAGCAGGCCAAGGAGACTATCGAGCTGGTCATCCAGTATGGACTGGTCATGATGTTTACCCTCGCGTTCCCCTTGACACCTTTGATTGCTTTGATCGATTGCAACATTGAGAAGCGATTGGATGCTTTCAAGATCGTTCGGCTGCAACGATCTCCGGAGCCCCGGATGGTTGTGGGCCTCGGCCAACCCTTTCGTGCCTTCGTTTTCGTTACTGCGCTGGGATTGTTGGTCTCTGGCCTTATGCTGTACTTCACCGAATATCCAGGCGAGCAGTGCGCGAGGTGCACGATGTTTAGCAACTGCGGCAGCTGCGGCGGCACGGGCGTGGATCTGATTTTGCCGGATGTCAGTGTGGAGCTGCGATTGTTTCTTCTATCGGCAGGCGAGCATATACTCTTGATACTTATGTCACCTCTAGCCCAGTGAGCACGCTTGTGCTTCAGGAGCAGTATAGGCAGAAGCTGTATGAGAATCGCTTGAAGCTTGAGGCGGCATCTGAGGGGCAAGTGTCTCAGTCGATGATGCCACGACGGTCGCGCAAAGAAACGCAGGACACCTCTATAAGTACAGACCATGGGTAGCATGGCCTGTTTGCAAATGCTTGTCGCTACTTGTCACACGAGAACAACTAACGTTGGCGCCTGCCAAGCGCTTGAAGAGACTTGGCCCTCAAGCTCTGTTCACTGTTATGGTGTTCGAATTGTTACTATTGAGCTGAAATGCACCGCGTGATGTTCAGAATCTGTATCGCTATTGTCACAACAGCATTCCTTATTATTGGTCTGACCATTTTTTATTGCGGGCATCAAACAGAGGGCCGGAGCTTGGGATTCGTAGGAGGCGCAAGTCGCCAAAGCCCAGTACTCGACAGGCTCTGCCTTCCGTCGCGAAGGGTGCTCGAAAAGGATATACAGATCGTGTATGGACTTGCCAATCGCGGGGATTTCTCTGAAGTAGCTATGAGTATGCTTGCTCCGCAGGAAAGTGATCACTGCAAACCAGGCGTCCCTTTGTGCCACATTTGAGGGTGCATGGGTAGCATAGGTCCCACTTGGTCCTTCAAGAGGATCTCCGTTTGCACAGTGATTAGCCGCTCTCGGTTTGAAATGCTTTGGGTCAACTCGCGCGCATAAGGTCCACCCTTCATTGCAAGGGCAGGATTTCAAAGAGCTCCAAGATGGCCCGGAGCTCGGATGATAGGTGAGATATTTTAGTATAGTATAGTATACTGTAGTATATTATAGTATATTATAGAGAATGTAATATATAGACTATAATATATAGGATAATATAATATATTGTGGCCTCTGCTCCAGACGGCCTGCTCGCAGCTTCTTACTGCAGGAGTTGGTTTCGTTGTATCTGCTGTGACAACAGAGGAATGTTTCAAAGGGCAAACATAAGACATCAACTAGCACCATTTTGGGGGCGAAGATTCTTGCTCATGCGCAAGCAAGTTTGCTATGTACATCTTGCAGTCAAGTTGTTTTGCGCTGAGATCGTTGCTTTGGAAGCACTACAGCCTCCAGCAGTGAATGCCCCTGGTGTGACTTCTTGACTTGAAGGCGACCCCCTGTTCATGACCTTCGACGGTGAGGTCCAGAAGTTCGATCGGAACGAGTACAAGGCAATTAGCTTTATTGAGATGCAGTTTTCCAGAGTCATTTCATTGTTTCTTAACTGCCCATTGAGCATCAACGAGAGCACTACGTAAGCATGTCTGCTCATGTTTACGTACAGCCAGTGCAGGTGCCGGACAAGCACGACTCCGTGTACGTGCTGTTTGTGAATGAGGCTGCGTACTACGAGAAGAAGGCTGCGCATCGAGCCAGCCTGCGGGGCTTTCTTGTCAATGCAGAACCCAAGAGACTATGAGATTACTGACAGTTGCAAGCTAGTATATGCAAGTCTGTTGACAGACAAGGCCCTGAAATGACACATTGCCATAATGTGGGAGGAGTATTCTGCGCCAGAGGTTTCAAAGGCTTGTAGGCTGGCAGTTTGCTTTTCAAAGCTGCCACAACACGTTGGGGCCTTGGGGTGGCGCGACCCTATCAGGACGCCATCACATTTTGAGAGAGGAAGGACTTAGGAACCTTAATGCAAGCACCCTGCTCCCAAAAACGCAAGAATCTGCTAGATTGGGGGTTGCATATTTTTCAGCACTCCAGCCTCCATTCTGTCAAGATCTTAAGGCTCCAAATCCAGAAGTCAGAAAAGTCAGACCTGCTGTCTCATAACTCAAAGCCCAGGCATGAGCTGAACCAACGAAGGAATCGTGAGAATAAGGTCGCAGGTGGCATTAGTAGGAATCCAGGCCAACTTCTATCAATGCAGACACGGATGCTTATGTTGGGTTTATATAGGGACAATGGAAAAGAAAATGGAAACTACTATAGGTGTTATTTGTTGGGGTATAGTATATAGGCTTCTCTACTAAAATGAAAGCTGTGCCAACTGCTTCTCCAATGCCAGATCGCGCTGATGCTGGTGAGCCGTGCTGAGGCTTCTTTCTCCAAGCTAGTCTGAGCTCACCTGCCAGTGAGGTCATTCTCAAAATGCATGGCCCCTTTTGGTTATTGGTTATACTACGGAACTTAGTATTTAGGGGTACCGAAATGGGACACTAATTTTGGGAACTACGTACCCAATTTTTTGGGTTGAAGCACCTAATCCCTCCTGTGCTTGGAATGCCAGTGTTTATCTCGCACATGCTTCTTGGGAAGGGGGGAAGAGATCTTCAGGGTAGTCCTTAACACTATCCCGAGTATAGTCTTCCCTATACCACGTTGCTACGGCGGGCACGAAAAATCCCGCATGACAATAGCTTCCTTATTCCTTGGGAAACATGGCGTTATATCAGCAGCAAATTATGAGAATGGCAGCTGAAGCTGAGACCTGATTGGAAGACCCAAGGCAGCACATGCTTGAGAGGGGGAAGAGACCTGCCTCTGTGAAGTCCAGCGATGTTATGTAAGAAGTGTGAAGATCAAGTTCTGGTTCGGTGAATTGATTCCCTCGCTATCGAGAGTAGCCTCGAGCCCAATTTTCGCTGGAGCTCCCGGTGTTGAAGTCCAGCGATGAAGGTTGAAAAGCTATGTCGTGTCTAGAGTCTAGACGCCTCATATCATGCAAGGAGATGATATTCTCAGGCATGCGCAAGCCTTCGCTGAAACTCAACTCCAGATATGCATTTAGTTCGTTATACGCCACCTGAATATTGTCATCCATGTTGGGATGGCAGGCAGACAAACAACTTGAGCAGTGACGCAGCGACTGGTTCACTACATTGTTGCTGCGATGAAGCCATGTCATGTTTGTGCGGGTACCACGCTCCGCGTGACCGATGCATGTTTCGGATGTGTTCAAGTCCAATAGCTCTTCTACGAACATCCATGAACGTCCAGCCCTATGAGATTGTTCCGAAGCCTTCGTTGGTGATGACTTGCGCTGGCCTGGAGTCATACCAGGCAACATGCCGAAGTCCATATTATTGCGATTTTAATAGATTTTAATCCCAAGCCTGAAGCCCTGAACAGAGTAGACCTTGCATGGGAGCGTTACAGTAGGTAGTCCGGAGTCCGTGTCACTGACTGCCATGGCAGATGAAGATAGCAGCCAGGAGGTGCAAGTTCTGAAGGCCTTCAGCCGGCATTCTAGCTAACAACAGTTCAGACGCCAAAGTGTCACTTTCTTGTGGGATTGCTGCGTTTGGCTTCATCGTTCGCATTTTGATAAAGCATTGTCCTGCGGTTGGAATATCAGAATCACGATCTTCCTCAAAAGCTACTTATTTCAACGCTAATCAGTCCGGCAACGTTTCCCCTGATACCCACCGACCACAGCAGCCCTTCTGCAGGTGGAATACTCGGATGCACTGCTGATCACGCTGGCGGCGATATTGCTCTTTCGATCACTGCGACGAGCTTGGCTCTCGCGCCCATCATTGAAGGAGAACTGTAAGGCAGTGTAGCTGAGGTTGTTTCTAGGATTCGAGGTTGTGTAGTTGCATGTGTCCATTGCTTGCTGGCCTACTGCACTGCTGTGACCTGCACAGGAGGAGTGAGGCTGGAGCATTGGCTTCCTCCCTCCAGCTCTCGTGAAGGACTACTGCGACACGAGAACTCAGGCCAAAGAGACTATCCCCACGGATTGGGATGTGGATCAGGCCTGGGTCCCTATGCGATATGAGTTGACGCTGGAGCCGCGCTGCGATGGGCCTCTGCGCGAATTCATGGCACAAGCACTTGTCAAAGAAGACGAAGGTTGCCAACCTACGCAGCCAGACCCAGCGACTCCAGGAGTCTCACAGTTCTGACAACCCAGGATCTGAAGCTTTTTGCGGCTTCGACCTTCCAGTCACTCAGTGACCTTTGCAAGCGCTGAAGAGTCCAGTTCCTGAAGGAGTCGGTCTGGATCACACCATGTTGGCTCAAGACAAGGCTTCGCAGCCGCGCCATTGTTTAAGTTGGAGGCATCCCGCAACATGAAAGTATCGACTCGAAAGCAAAATCGGGGAAAAAGCCTCAGCAGATCTCAGAAGATCACGCTCGTGAGAATTTGTTGTGGGCGTTGCTGTTGTGGTTGACCATCATACGTCAGTCTTAGCAATACAGGTCATGCCTGCTATTCTTTTCAGGCTTGTCATCACTGCTGCTATCACCTTTTATCATCATGGTCCTAAGCCTCCAGCTGAGCCTCAAACTCCAGGGTATGGGTGGCTACAGCATGGAAGGCCCTTGGAACATGGGCTTGTCTAGAAACCGCGGGGCTGCCACCTGACCTCCGCATGCCTCAGTGTTGGAGTTGCATTTCTTTCCCGGAATAGGGTTCCCAGTTTTCCCTGAGTTTTCTGAGCTTTTTTTCACTCCCAAATAGCTCATAATTGCGCTCCGAGATGCCAAACGTGCCCGTTGTGCAGCTTTGAACGTCAAGGGTCATACTGCCCTTTGCGAAGTGGGCGATGGCTTTTAGAGCAGCTGTACCTTGCTTGAGATGCTCGGCTGCATAGAGGTTCAATCACTATGAGCCCTACTGTAGGCCCTAGCGATTCCAAATCAGCATGTCTGTCAGAGTCACCGCTGCTGCTGCTGCTGGTGCTGCTGCTGCTGGTTTTGGTGGTGGTAGCATTGCAGCAACAGCCGATCATTCCATGAAGCCAGTCATGAACAACAGCAGCAGGAACAAGTGCTGCCCCTCGTCAAAGTCAGTCCGCTACCGCCATCATTACGACCAGCATCGACCAGCTAGTACTGTTAGTTCCCACTCCTCTACCTCTCGTATCGGGAGAAAGAGAAGTAGTCTACTTCCCGGAATGCAGCTGAGGGCGCTCTGCGCTCCTGATGCCTTTTGTCAGGCAGAGGCGACTTGCATGGTTCCCTTGGGATTCTTTGTTTTGGAGATTTTGGGGGTCAAGCGGGGTGGGGTTGCTGTTTATGGAAGCTATATAGGAGGGTACAGATGCAACGGAAGCGGTACAGAGATGCAAGGATGACGTAGAGATTACTTGGGGAATTTGAAGGGGTGGTAGGGAGAATCGTAAAGGAGAAAAATGGAGATGAAAGCAAGTAGATGTTGCAAGTAAGATCACGTTTCTTAGACACAATGCTCTATTGGGGTCTACGTTTGGCAGAACACCAATGTCTCAAGCGTCCAAAAGCTTCGTTGTGCGCAGATTGTGCGGCATTTTTCGCGTACGTTCAACACTTGATCTCCATAGGATCCCTACGAGTTTCGAGGGATCCCGAAAATCACTTCTATACCTCTTGAAATCCAAATACCCTTGCCACCTGCAGGGCACCCATTGCTGCGTTCCGGTGGCATACAAGGTATGCGAGCTCCCAGGACGCGGGCTGTGACACGAAATCGTTCTGCGGGTCTAGGCAGTTGACGCTGAAATTGGGTGACGATTTGGTTCACAAGGGTGCAAACCCGATTTAGACTTGTTTCCCGCCGGGCTGGTGCGGGCGGGTTGTTGAGCCTAGCTTTTGGCCATCTGCTCTGTAGTCGAAGTTCCCTAGACATGTTGCCATGTTGTGCCATGCTGTATTTTTGATCATTCTCTAGCGCGTCTTTTCGTGCTGCCATCCATCATGCAGATGCCATGTGAACCCCTTGCTTATCATGTAGGAGCCAAGATCAGGCAGAGATCAAATGCCCGTTCCCCCAAAAGCGATATCCCGAAATGGGCGGGCTATGAGAATCCCATCCCGCAGCAAAGATCTGGAGCATGCCGGCAAAAAAATCTGGCAAAACACCGCGAAGCGATAGGTATCAAAACAACAATGTGGCAAGAGCCTGTACCAAAAAGCTATACCCTTAGATTTTTAGCTCGCTGATAATAGTTTACGCAGCAGCTCATGCATTGAAAGCTCCCGATTGCAAAGCAGATCGCAGGCCAGTTCTGGCGAAGCCGCGCAGGAGCAAAGCAGGCTTCCTTGGGCTCAGACTGGATCATTACTACGTAGCCATTATACTTTTCACAGTTGTGCATCAACTTGAGATTTTGAGAGGAGAGGCTCTCGTTTAGATACCTCCTTCATACCAGGGCGCCCAACTAATCCTTGTCTGGAAGCGCTTGCTGTCCGCTTCACGCTTTCTGACTCTAATGTTGAGCAGCGCAGTAGCATGGTGCAGGGACTCCATGGAGGACACCGTGAGCGCACAGCGCCAGGTCTGCGGCCGCTAGGGCCTGGTGTCTAAGAAGCTGTCAGACATAGTAAGCGGTTAGAGTCCACTTCCAAACAGCTTTTGCATAGTTACAGGGGATTGGAACTACGTCGAGTACCTGTTGGCTAGCACGAGGGATTCCAAAAGAATTGGATCAACTACGTGTGAAGGAGGTCCTAGATTCCTAGACTAGAATGAATGGAAGTCGGGCATTTCCGGAGTTGACGACATTTCTCGGCTGCGGCCTGCCTTTGGGGGGGGTTGAGGGAGGCAGGCTTGGGCGTTTTCTTGCTTGGAGGTAGTTTAGGGCCTCGGGGATGCTAACGTGTGTGGAGCATAGTGTGGGCTGCTTCATGTTTGATTGGGCTGGCTGTTGCAAGCTGAAGATGTTTGGAAGACATGAGCCGCTTTTCGCGGCAAGCTACGTCCCAATTCTTCTGCCAGAAGCCTGAGAAGCGCGGTCAGCCTCCTTAGAGACACGCAGGGGGATGAATGCTGGGTCAGCAGCGTAAATGAGTGTTTAATTATAGACTTTCCTGCGGATTTCTGAGATCACGGATCACAAATAGTGCCTTGGACAAAGCTATGTCATCTAACTCTAGCAAACCTTAGTAGGTAGAACTGCCAGGCGGCATGGGGTTTGGAGACCAGAACCTGGCATGCAGTTCATGGTTGGCTCCGTCATCAGCACTGGACCAAGCTCATATAGTAAATAGTACAACAGAGTAAGGATGAGTAAGGTAATAATATAATGATATAGTAATATGGTAACATGGTAAAAAAAAAGGTGTTGAAGGCAGGTTCCTTCCTATCTTCAAAATCCAATGCCGGGTGCCGGGCAGTAGAGAGACCAAGCCACTGCTGACGCCTCTACTACTCTATTGCTATATTACCATATTGCTATACCAATACAATACCATATTACTACATTGCTGTATGATTTTATTACTACTATATCATTATGGTACTACTATATTGGTATATTTCATGCAATACTATACAAGTATATTCCCCTTATTGTTATATCTTTATATTACTATATATCTGCTGGCAGGGAATCCTTTCAGCACCGGCAGGTTCTCTTCCCCAACGCTCAGAAGTTAGAAGAGGCTTACCAGCAGCAGGACACCGGGCAACCCACAAGCATGACAATCTTGGACAGCCCTAAACCCTAAACCCCTAAACCCTAAACCCCTAAACCCTAAACCCCTAAACCCAAAACCCTAAGCCCCTAAGGCATGTTTCAGGGGCAAGGGTTAAGAACTTACTAAGAGTTTCCTTGATTGCAGTGTCGCAGAATAGGTCTCATGGTGCATGGTCATGTGTGGCAAATGCCGTCTCGGAAGGCCAGGTCTCTGTCTTCCCTGACATGTGGGGGTTTCCCAACATCAGGGGTACCTTTTCGGGGGTCCCCATAATAAGGATTATAGTATTGTGGGGTCTACATTGGGGGCCCCCTATTTGGGGAAATTACCATGTAGGGGGGGACTAGTGAATGGGGCAAGAATTCCCCACTTAGAACAATTCTTTCGCAAAGCAGTCATCTGTAGCAAGTCATGTCCTTACATGTGAGTTCTGAAGGCATGGGGCGGCACTCAGGGTGAACCCGAGCATCAAACCTGCATGGAAGGTCTGATTCGTGAATGCCGGCACTGTACCTGGGGCTTAAGACGATGTTCCTACCCGAAAGCCCACCGCGCAGCTCCCAGCCAGGCAAACCCCCATACAACCCCTATATAATCCCCAGATATAATCCCTATATAACCCCTAGACAACCCCTATATAACCCCTATGTAAATAGAGCGTCTGCCCGGGATGGCATGCCAAGCCTTGGGAACACACCAGGTCCAGCTTTCTTGCCGAGGTATTCTTCCCAAATACATACAAAGTTCCTCGAAATCACGCCATAGACAATGCGGGGAAGGGTCCGGCAGGATATGCCAAGAATGAGCCCAAATGGAAAGGCCTTAGATGCTGTGTCTTGTTCTATGCCGCAGTTCGGGTCCCCTTTATTCAAAGACCTTCCACTCATTATTCGCAGGACCTCCAAAGAAAGGTTGCGGTGCCGCCTGAGCAGTGGTCTCCCAGGCAAGGATGGGCTTGGGATTGGAGATGCAGGATTATGGCTTTAGTAGGCTTCAGGGTTCAGCTTTGAGTTTGCTGAATGAACTACGGTTGCTGCTTCAACTCCTATAAGAAATTAAATTGGCTCGAGCTTTTGTGCAATGTTCAGATTCGGTCACATCACGTATGGTCCCATCATTTGTAGCGCTGTCCGGAGATTTGTGCTTTCGACTTTGTTGTGAGCCTTGCAGGAAGCCTCACCATGGTCCCATCAGATTCGGGCCAATAAGAATCCGTCTAATAAGGTGGACTGGTGAGGCACAATGCATGCGATTGATCTTGCTCCTTATGGCGTCATGGTGCTGGATGGTGCGGGTGATAGTCTTGAGAATATAAGGCTACAATCCACACAAGCAGCACGGTGTCAGCTGAAAATGGATTGCCAGCGCAGATTTTACGTATTGTTCCGCCCATGGCCGAGGTTGGTCACACATGATTTCTGTATTAATATGCGCGCGTAGCAAATTTGGAGATCTGGTTGAAACCAGGGTCTCTTGACTGTAGGAATGTAGGGCGTTGTTGTCGTGAGATTTGGCGCTCTGTTTTGGTCTGAAGTCCTAATGTGGCCACACCGGGCGTCCACCTGTTTTTATAACGTCTGAATAGGAAAGTCCGCTTTTAGCTTCTGGATGGCTGGAGTATGGTCATTGCCATTCCATGTAGATATTTTCACGGTGCTCATACTGAGATTCTCAGCTTCTTGGAGGAAATCATGTTTTCAGTCCTCAAATTCATGATGGACGCAGTTGGCCGTGGAAGTCGACATGTAGATGCTTTGCAACAATCAACCTCAGCAACGTCCGTAGGATCCTCAAGAAGGACAGCTTTCTCCCACCCATCGTGTCCTGGGACCCTAAGCTTACTCACGTGTTGCGAAGTCATGCTCCCCTCCCTCCCCAAGGGCGTGCCAAATTCCAAGGAGACATGTTTTTGCGCTCAGGCGGGTACCCTACAAGACCTACGAGAAGGACGGAGCACCGGAGGATGACAGTGACGAGGATGAGGACATGGCTTTGACGGACAAAGTCTAGCACCTCAAACAACAAAATTCCCAGGATTTAGGGTACGTGCCGAAAGTGGTGCAGGTTTTCTCTCGTGTACATCATCTCCTACCGCCCATTTACGGGTGCCTTTTCAATAAGAAAGTCCTTGTCTGGAGGACCAAAGTTGTTCAGTGCCGTTATGCTAGTAGCATTACAAGGGTTCGCATCAACAGCGGGCCACAAATTGGACAAGTTCCCACACAATCCCTACCACTACGGCTCAGTCGAAACAGCTTGGTGTAGGGTTCAGGCTCCAGATTCGCACATGCTATATTGTCAAGATTGGACGGTCCTTTTCAGAAAAGAAGCAATTTGCATTTGAATTCGGATGATTCATGCGTCTTCTTTGGCAGTTGTGCAACCCTCGACGATTAGTCGCGTGTATTGGAGGGATGTTGCAGTTAGTCGCAAGGTGCAGGGCCCAAGTGAACCTCCAAGCAAGTATCCAGAAGCAGCAGGAGGCTGCCGCCGAGGCTGAGGTCGAGGTCGAGGGCCTGGAGGTTGGTATGGAGGAGGCAACCTGCTCTTGTGACGTTTCAGTGATGCGATCTATGGGCTAAGCAGTCTTTAGAGTGGTGTGGGGTGTGGGGATGTCTCAGATCTTGCAGGGGGGAGCCGTCTTGCAGAATGATTAGTTTCTTCTGGGCGACATCATTTTAGGGATTTTGGTATTCGCGGGCAGATGCTAGTGGAGGCCCCTTGTGGGTGAGAAGCTCGCGATTATTGTGCTGCTTGCCCACCTTTTCCACTCCCATGGGGTCTAGATGTATTTCTATCAGAGAGTCAGTATCCATAAGTCCCTTCAGAACACGGTCCCTGAGGTTTATTTCTAGAACTGTGTGCTTGGTGGACTGTGAGCCTAATATGTAGTACCTGTAGGTTTACAGCGTCATTGCATCAGCGGTGCAGGTGTTCACTAGCTGCACGCAAGGATCCGCAAAACTGTTCAGCCTCGAGCAGTTAATCGCGTCGGGCCCTCTTGCCGACATGATCCGCGTCTGGAGGGTTTCAGGAGAAGAGCTGGCTGTCATAAGAAGCAATGAGGTCTTCAGCGTGAAGGGCTTGAGAAAACACTTGTGCAAGTTGCACGGCTTTCCAACATGCATCCAAGTGGTGCTGTACAAAGGCAACACGCTGCATGACTCTGTCCGGCTAGAGACGTCTATTGACGTGCAGCTTGTTTTGGTGCCCCTTTCATATCCTTCCGAGCGACAATTAGAGGCAGCAAACGAGTTGACAGACGCTTGTGCACATGGACAAGTAGAGGTTGTGCAGTTGCTGATGCAAGCTGGTGTTGACAAGAACCTTCAAGATGGCCTGGGCGAAGCAGCTCTAATTCGTGCAGCTCGGGCAGGACGCTTGGAGATTGTGCAGTTGCTGCTGGAAGCTCATGCCGATAAGGACCTGCAAGATAACTCTGGCGACTCAGCTTTGATCAGCGCGGCAGAAGCTGGCCATTGTCAGATCGTGTGCTGCCTGTTGGAAACTGGTGCAGACAAGAACCTGCTAGATCGGAATCGCGACACAGCTCGAACTTGCGCAGCTCGAAACGGCCACGTGGAAATTGTAGAGCTGTTGACTGCCACTGCCAAGGACCCGAAGGGTCAGTCCCACAGCAAGGCTCTGGAGCTGTTTGAGGCAGCTAATAACGGCAACGTGCAAGATGTGCAGTTGGTTTCGGAAGCCGGTGCAGACAAAGACCTGCGGTATGAAGACGACATCACGCTCCTCATGCTGGCGAGCGCCAGCGGCCAGACAGCGATCACGCAACTGCTTCTGAAAGCTCGTGCAGATAAGGACCTCAGAGCGAGGGGCGGCACCACAGCTCTTGTGTGGGCAGCTGAGAACGGCCACACGCAGACAGCTCGCTTGCTGTTGGATGCTCGGGCCCAATGCGACCTTCGGACAATCAGCGGGAAAACAGCCCTGATGCATGCAGCTCGTAGAGGCCACGTGGAGGTGGTGAAGTTGCTTCTGGAAGCGAAAGCTGACAAGGATTTGCAGGTTGGTGATGCATGCACAGCCTTTGCCTTTGCAACGAGGGAGGGGCATCAGGAGACTGTTCGGCTGCTTGTGGAAGCTGGGGCCTATGTGCCGTGACGGATGGTATGACAGCTCGCATGCATACATGTGGAGATTGCATGCTTGTTTGATGTCACTGGCACACAACTTTGCGAAAGTGCAAAACAATGACACCTGCAGTCTGTAGTGTATTGGTTGCGTGTGGGGGGAAGGTGGGCTCATGATATTTGAGAACCCGGAACTAGCTCCATAATATGTGTCTATTTGTCTAAATGTCTATCTATCTGTGTGCCTCTCTATAGAGAGTTGTATGTATTCGCAAAACTTTTGTCTGAGATGCGGATGCAAAGTAGTTGCTGCAGTGTGCATGGGGCATTGCAATTCCAACCTGGCGCGTCACTTGTTGCCGATTGTTGTTATTGGCTACTGTTTATTTGAACCTCGGATCCAAAGCTGTCTCTCCCATAGAATTTTCTTCCATCTCCAGAAGACGTCGAAAAGCGGAGAATCAAATCTCCCAGTCTAGAAAAAATGCATGTTCCCCAGGTCCTAAAAACCGTTGCGCGTTAGACTCCTCTGGGCTCTACCCACAAAAGAGCACTGCTCAGGTGGGCTTCCGCTACAACGGTCCCGAGCCGACCACCTTCGGGGATTGGGCCCACAAGGGTCGTGCAGCATGGCGTGCACATCGTAGAGCTGATGGGAGATGGCAGGTCTCTGAACCCTGGGTAGCCCGGATGTCTAGAGATGTTGTCTATGCATGCAATGTCGGCTACGTTGTTCCTAGACCTAATTTGATGCAACTTTCAACGCAGGATGAGATAAGCTCTCCTAACTGTTTGTTGCAGCGTGGTTGCGTGAGTGTTTCCAGCCGTTCGAGCAACAGCTACCTGGCAGGCTGGAATCTAGTCAGCATGGAGGGTAAGAATGCTCCTCATAGCTTCCATGGGAAGGTACAGTTGTTTTACAGTAGCATCATAATGCCTCTGTATTCCCTGGTAGAAGCATGACCACGATCTGCCTAGTTGACGCGAAGTTCCTGCTTGCGATGGTTCTCTGAAACTCTGAGGTTACAGACTTCTGACAGAACCTGGACAGTGGCAGGCATGTCTGAGGGTAGATAGGTGCCCTCACTGACCAGCCCTCACCCGCATACGTCTCTACACGAACCTACAAGCTCAATAGCCTGACAAATGTACGATGCTGCTCAGTGCTCTTGCTGGGCTTAGCACACTATGTTTCACCCGCGCCAGATGGTTGTCAGCAGCCTGTCACAGAATGAAGCGACTGCGTGACTTTCCTTCGTATACATAATACAGTTCCAAGTCTGTGCCCGCACTGCCGAACTGTTGTAGAGGCAACATTACAGAAAATTTGCCGAACTGTCGCAGCATGTTGCAGCATAAACATAACATAAGCACTGACGACAACCACTCAAACACACGCGCTTAAGGTTTAGTTGAAGGACGGCTGCTGAGAACCCACCAGGTAACGATTTTCAGCGCACAGACCATCAACCAAACCAAGAGAAAATCAATGCCCGTGGGCATAATGCGAATGTCACGTGCGCAACAGGGAGTTAAATAGAGGGTTCGTGGGGATTGATTGAGGCTCCCTCGTGGCAACTTACACTACACGAATTCCCAAGCTCTGCTACTTGTACTAGCCACGCCTACACGGGACTTGGAGATTGGGTAGCTTCCCATACCGGCACACTGTCTTTTCTGTCATGATCCCATTGCGGGCCAGCTGTCGGCGTTATATCCAAGTTCAAGAAGCTAGCGACCTACTGTGGGAGGAGAACATCTCATCTCGCACCAATTGTATAAATTCGGAATTGCGCGATAATGGGGTCTCTAGGTGGTGCAGGATTTCCTCCATCCGCCAAAACGTCATGGTCAAGATCCACTTGCATTTGCAGTATCATTTTAGTCCCTCAGTCCCAAGTCCGCCTTGCCGGTCAGCCTTACTTGAAATGTTCTGACCCTAAATAGTAATTTCCATTTAGTTTCCATTCCAATATAACCCCAAGTAATACACCAGTATAACCCCGATATAGCCCCAAATATATACCCTATATAACCCCTATATATAACCCCAATATAACCAAAATATATACCCCCAATACAACCCTGCCACCTGCATTTCTTCCGGCTCAGAAAGTGAGTAGCAGAGCGCACCCCGTGCCAGCTACTGGTTTTGTGATCTGTTTTGACTCCCTGACATGACTTCTGTCGTTGCCAGGCCGGCCGTGGGAAGTTTTTCAGTGCAAGCTAGGCATAGTGGCACAGTTGGGGCGCTTCTTGCCACCCAAACTAGTCAATTTTGGCGGCTTCCTGCTATAGGAGGGAAGCGAGGGCTCCTAACGTCAGCTAGCTGAAATCATGCTTCAGGCGATTGAAACATTTTTGCGATTTCCAAGCATGAGCTTTCCTTTTTGAGTGAACTTGTGCTTGAAAACCAGCATGCAGTGAGAAACAAGTAGCTTGAGGACTCTCATGTAGTTCGAAACCGCCGAAACAAGTAACCGCAAAAGCAAAGCTCTTAGATACATGGGCTCCCAACCCTGCTCGGATTAGCAACGCCATGTCACGCATTAGCTTGGCCCAACGACCCAGAATAAATAGCTATACACAACAAGTTGTGACATGTGCATTCCATTCCCAATCTGCTATCAAATTAAGGTCTGCCTACGGCTTGAGGGTGAGCAGAGTTCTAGGCATATGATGGATGATGTTTGGAACGAACTACGATATCTGACGGCTCTATTTGCGTGTACTGCAGGCTACAGTCAAGAAGGTACAGCAGTTCTAGGCTGCTACCGCCCTTGTAAAATGTAATCCCCAATGTAGTTCCCAATATATGCAGAATGTATAATGTATGGTAGTTTCGATGTTCTTTTCCATTATTCCCTATCTATATATGTTCTGAAGCTCGAAAATGTTGTCCTTCTTGATTGCCTCTGTCAGTAAGCCCGCGCAGGTTGATGACCTTTAGTTTGATTTGTGCGGTGGCTCAGCCACTAAACAGGACGCGACTTTGGAACTCGCTGGGTTTAGGGCTCGAAAAATTGAAAAAATGGAGGGTGTGGTAGGGCTGTGCAAAGTTTTTGAGCAGTGATTGGTCATCCATAAGTAGATGGGATATGCAGAAGTGCATCAGGAACTTAATTAAGACTAATATGTCTCAATGTTCCGCTCATGTGCGTATTTCCCAAAATGGGCGTCAGACCCGTCTATTCAGGGATGATTGGTCCAGAACTAATTGGGCGCAGGACAGCCTCCGTGATGCTCAATGATCCAGTCCGACTGGATGCAGCCAGTGAGCGCGAGGCGTTCTGCTTAACAGATTTTAAGCCCTGTGTGCCAGAAGCTGTCAGCTATCCCACTGCAATTGATGCACTGGGATTTTCTGATGCCTTGTAGGGACCCTGCCACCGTGCCATTTTAAGGCTGACCGACAAATTTGAATAAGATCAAGAATGCAATCCCTACATTCTCTGGAGTCCCCACCCCCAAAGAAGGGCCCACCCTAAACCCTAAATCCTATGCCCTAAAACCCGAACAAACCCTTTTCCCTAAGCCCGCCTTTGCCAGGGGCAGATTTTGAATTTGACCGCCGAAGAAAAGCGGGACGGAAGTGATCCGTCCGCAGCGAGGCTTACCCGCAACGAGACGGAAACAAAACGAAATTAGGGTTTCGGGTTTGGCGTTTAGGATTTGGGGTTTGGGGTTTAGGGTTTAGGGTCCCTCCCCCAACAAGGGGTACCATTTTGGGTCCCATGATAAGGACTGTAGCATGTTGGGGTCTATATGGGGTCCCTCCTGTAGAGAAAGTAGCGTATCATTCATTAGGCGTAGAGGTATTATATAGGGATGGTTACATAGGGATGGTTATCTATGGTAAGATGGAAACTAAATTATGCGGCGGTGTATATTCGGATTATAGTAGAGTTGGTCTACATTGGGCCCCGTATTTTCTGGAACCCCCCATATGAACATAGTACATAGTACAACTTATACCAGAAGTGCCAAGATACTAGTGAAGAAGGCTCATGCCAAAAGTACGAAGAAGGCGACCAATAGCGTTTGGGGTTTAGGATTTAACTAGTAGAACCAGGTAGAACCAGGTACACTGCTGTTACGAGAACCATTGTTAAGGATCAGGCTTTTGATTATCTCAATATGTGACCTGTCAACTGCGGCGATGCGTATGCTTAACGATGGTTAGAGACGGTGTTAATTTAGGTCTTCAGCAAGTGGCAAGTGGCATCGGGTTTTCAGTGGACCCTCAAGGGATGCTTTTCAAGTTCTAAGTAGCACCACCAATGGCAGGATGACAATGAGGACTTAGTGTAGGCTTGTTATCATGTCATCGTCAAGCCCGCGCGAGGGTCCTTCTTTGGGTCTGTTTCAGAGATAGATTCTTTTAAGGAGGGAGCGTAGCCAGAAATAACCTATCATTTGCAATCTTTGTCTTGCACAACTAGCCAATAACATTTGTAGAGCTTTTGAACTCCGAGGACCCTGGTATTTGGAATTACTTACCTGTGTTGGAAGCAGTGGTCTTGCGGCTTACAGTCTTAAGGTCCTGCTACACTTAGACCTGGAGTTTCTTAGGGTTGGAACCCTGACGGCATGCGGTTGTACCCTTGCATAGATAGTTCTCCTTGGCACACCTCCAACTATGAGACTGTATTGCGCAGGAGGGCTTGAGAAATCTCCATGGAATCTACCAGCGGACTAGGGGAATGGTTTCCGGTTGATGTCAGCATTTGCCGCTGAGCCTCTTGCAGTAAAAGGCACTGGGCCCAAAGTTAACCCTAAAGCTGGAATCTATCACCGCGGCCCTTCGCCAAGGGCTTGTGGACCATCATTCTGCTTTGACAAGCAGACGGCGAATTGTTTCCAAACAATGCCAGCTAACTTGTGCACCACCGGCCATGTTTCCAGTGCGTGAGTGCAACAGCAGAAGTGCCAGAGGCAGAGATGGTGGCGTGAAGGCAGTCTTGGTGTTGGTGGTAAGCGCTGGTGGTGGCTACAGCGGTGGTTGCAGGGGTGGTGGCGGCAGCAGCACGGTCGTGTGGCAGCAATAGCAGCAGCGGCAGGAAGTCATCATGATGGACACTGTTGTCCAATCTAGCGCTGCAGCAACAGTCGTAATCAGCGGCAGTTTCTGTTTTCGTCGATGTTGTCCTCCTCCTCCTGGCATGTAGAAGCAGCTACCGCGCTGCAGTTCGTAGGTCCTCTGCGGCTTGCATGTAGACATCTTTAGAGCCCCTGGTTCTCCGGCAGTGGGATAGCAGTGATTTCTGGCTCATGTCATGTGTGCCCTCAATGCCCTCAAGCCTTCAAAGCAAGTAGCACTTCCCCAATTGCTGGGTGCGTTGATCCTCAGATGAACACGTCTGAACACCTGCCAAAAATTCTGAATTTTTTCTGGTGCGTTCTTCGGAAGGATTCTGTTTTTTTTTTGAAGCTCATTTTCACTAGCCCAGAATTTAAAGGTAGATGCTAGCGACTGATTGCTACATCCCTGGCATTCTTTCAGCTGGTAATGCGGGATGCAGCTGCGCATGATGGCTATGCGCGCTTGCCAGGCATGAAGGCCATTTATTTGTGCGTGAAGTACATCCTCGCAGGCCAACCCTGCATTTCTGGCTTGAGCGAAACAAACTCAGGCTGAGCTTTCTGCCCCTTGCAGCTTCGGAAATTCTGCTCGCTTGCATGGCTTGCACGCCTTCCCCGGAACCCAGGCATGATCCTTCACGGCCCGAATCCACAAAGAAGCCTTGTACAGCCTTTGGACATGTACTTAGAGTCAGTGCTTGTGCGCAACAAAGCTTGAAGGCTCCATGGGCACCGTGGAGCCCGAAGAGTTTTGCAGCCGCGAGAGAGAAAATGGTTATTCCGCAGCCATCGAGGCAGGTGGACATGAAATGAGAATGTCTGCGGAGCGGCATCCTCGGATCATCCTGCATTTGGCTGGATGTATGAGGTTGTACACATACTCATATGGATCGACGGGGCTCAGTGATTGGAATTGTGGATCCCTTTGAGGTGCAATGCGCATCCTCTTCTGTTAGGGTATATATGCGGACCCTGCGTGGTGGAACGCGAAAGGGTTTCGACCACTCTGAAATTGGGGTCCCCGAAGGCTTGTGTGTACACATGTAGATCATTACATGTTCACATCGGGCTGAAAGGAAGCATTTCTGGAGAGGCTCGGGTGTCTTACTGTTCTGACTGTCTTGGGCTTCTTTCTGCTGGTAGCGATCATAGTCGGCCCAATTTCGGCGGACCTCGACGATTTATTTGAGATGGGGGTTTCCGGGGGGCAGCAGTTTGCATTATCTGGCGGTTTCTAAACAGGGGTCCCTTTTTGGGGGCTCCACAACTGATTAAGGAGCATAATACATACGCGGCCCCTATCTATGGAAGCCCCAATCTATGTCCCTGGCGCAGGCAATCACCAGCCAGCACGTGCCCCAGCACGTGACCCAGCACGTGATAGAGCAGGCAGAGCAGAAGACGGACACAAAGTCCAAGGACACAACGTCCAAGAAGCCGTTACCCGGCTGCACTATACAGGGGTTCTTGGTTGCGGTTGCTATATAGGGTATTTCCCATGGATCCTTGAAAGCGACCAGCGTTGTGCCATCACATCTTCATCTCTGCATGGTTGGTCCACAAGGTCTGTTAAGCAGCACACGCACCGCCAAAGACGTAACCTACTTGTGCACACACACACAGAATGTATCAACCTGCAACTTGAGGATGCCGAATAAGTCTTGGTGCCAGCGCCGATTTCAGTATCAGGACTAATAGGGTTAGGGTCATCTTCTCCCTGCGTGCGGCAGTTTGTGTTCTGGTTGGGGACAGATTTGCAATGATACTGGTGGGTATGCCTACACAACTGCCGAGGTTCGTTTACCCCTCTGGCATAGACAGCAAGGACATTGTTCCAATTGATGCTCGGAATGCAAGAAGACAGGTCAGAAGGGTTGGCAGTGGTCGAAGGGCTCGCGTTTCCGATGCCAGTGTTGTTGCTGCTGGCGGTGGTGGCGGCGGTGGTGGTGCTTCTAGTGCCGCTGGGCAGTGGGTGTTATCCATGACTTGGCTCGCTCCAATGGTTACAACTTCCCATAATCACGCCAACAGCAGTCTTTTTGGAAGATGGTTTTAAGATGACCAAATTTCAAGCTGCGTGTGTTTTGTGATCCCAGGGAACTGCAAAGATTAATGCTGATGGCCGCCAGCCATCGACGTCAGTAGCGTTAGAATGGCCATCTGCGTCATGCTGAGCGAGTATCATGACTGATAACCCAAGCAAGCCTCAGTCCAAGTTCGTACAAGTATCAATATAACCCTATTATAACCCTAATATACTATAGTAGTTTCCATTTTATTTTCCATTATCCCAATATAACCCCCAATATAGAGACATTGCAGAGCTGCAGGCCATTTGGGGGGCCTTCCTCGTCTCGTTTACCTGCGCGATCTTCGCGAGACATTTCTTTCACGAGCCATGCCAGGCCTGGGGTATCTGGGGCAAGGGCTTCTGGTGCCCAGGGTTGGGATTGGGTTGTCTGGCATTTGCTGATCTGTGATCCATATACCCAAACCCCTAAACCCTCAACCCTATGGGTTCCGGGTTGACCTCCTGGCGTGGCTTTGTGGGCTGCTAATGGAGAAGGAGATCAGGCATTTGCGACTGTTTCTGATCGAGGCTTTTCTGAAGCAATTAGCATTGTATTACCCCTATCGCCCCTATATAGAGTCATCATGATCCCCCATTCATTTAATGTTGAACCCCTAATCCAGACCCATCTCTGCAGGAGATTACTCCACTGAGTATGCCTCTCATCTGCGACCGTGTTTGAAGCAGCAACATCACTCTTTTCGTGGCGTCCCACACTTATCGCCCCTGCGCACTGCCCATTCTGATTCCTGTATGGCTTCTGTGCAGATGATTTTCATTCAGGCTGTATGTCTTTGGACGAAAAACTGTGTTTTGTTCAGGGGAGGTGAGTGTAGGATTCCTTTGTTCTTGCACGTGCGGACCACACTCCGTCGTAATGACGCAAGTCCTGCTCCGAACGTCTATGGCCGGTGCCTGTGACTGTATGCAGCTTAGGTGTTCTATGTTTGGCATGCCACTACAGCATTAAGAACCTGGTAGTGCTAAGCTGTCGAACATGCAGTGCTGTTGGTTTGGCTATTCAAAGCGACGTAGGCAGGTAATTACAATGCGGGTTCGCTTTTGATTTTGCAGATGTCCCCGACTTTGAAGGCGGAGCAGCTGCAGCGCATGCGCTAAGGTTTCAAATTGGTACCCCAGAGAAAACTAGCCTGTAGACTCATTCCAAAGCCCGGTAAATGCAGAAATCGCGAAGCTTGCGCCCCTTGGTGCCCCACAATGACCAGCGCATGCAGACCAAGTTTCACTGCGCCTGCAACACAAGCGTGTTGCATAAATGGCGCGCTAATCGGTTGCGGACGACGGCTCGCTAAACCTCTGCTGCAAAAAGATTCATTTGCTCAATCTCAGCTTTATTGTAGGTTCTCATGCAGCTACTCCACCGACTTTCCTCATGCCACCAGGTCGCAGACACTACCATCCTAGGTCCTCATTGAAATGGGATACCCTGCTGTGTCCGGGAGGACTAGATTATCAGGAGGTCAAAGGGTTCCCCCGTACGGCGCCCTGAAAGACCTCTCCTTCTGTTGGATTTTGAAAGCTCTTGCAGCGCTATGCATGATACTCCGTCGCTAATCATATGAAGGTAGATCATGTGAAAGTGGTGTTGAGAGTTGTGACTTCCACTACTCACTCATATTGATCTCGAACCCTCTAACCCCAACTCCTGCGCGGCCGCGGTCTCTTTGGGCAAAGTAGCAAAGCGCCCACATCCCGACTTGGCTGGAGCTGCTGCAGGCCAGGCAGGAAGGTTTTGGGTTTGCAGTTTTTTTTTTCTTTTCGGGTGTGCATTTTGTGTGTGTGTGTGTTGCGGGGGGGTAATATGTTGGGTTTGTTTCTTTAAGGGTGGTTTTGTCTTGCGGTTAAGTCTTTTTGTGTGGGGATTTGCAGTTTGGTTTTTTTCTGACCGGGTGTGGGGCTTTGGGGCGCCGGTTGCTCGTGCTTCTGTCATTTGGGGTTCTCAGGGTTTGAGGTCTAGGGTCTTGGCAGCTTTGAGATCTTTTGGAGGAGAATTGTTGATAGGTTCTGAGAATCCAGTGCCCGATTCTGGTAGCCCTTGTAGAAGTTTTGTAGAAGTTACCCTTGCTTTTGGGGCATATATCTTGGGCCCTCTCCTTGGCAGCAACTAGGAACAACTCAATTCTGTAGCATTTTTGCAATGCAATGTTGGGCGACAGTCCGATCCTCATACCAGCTAGTCTCTATTCAGATTTCTTGTTTGGACCCCTGATTTTGGGATATGTTGGGCACTTCCAACATGTAGATTATACAATGATCGTGGAGTTGGAACACCGAGCATCTGCTCTTTTTGAGACAGGCCTTAACTCACACTTGTGGACTTGTAACTAGAACCCTGGAAGGCCCTTGTTGCAACAGCGTACTCAGGAAGAGTATAGAGCCTTCAGAGAAGCCGGGCCATGACGCTCTGAACCCTTGAAGCTCCAACTTCAATCGGAAGACCAAGCTGCGTAAGAAAACCTGAACGCCGCAAAGGTACGCTCCAAAATGCCAGGGAAGATGAGGCGCTAGTTGTCGGGTTGAGGGGTTGTGCATGTGCTCAGGGTGTGCCGGTATGGGGTTCATATCGCAACTTGGTAACACTGTATATGTACTGGGCAGCGTAGTTGATAAGGGCCTCATGTGTTCGGGTGATCTCTTTTCAATGCAGAGGCCGCTGGACTGGCATAGGGCATAGGACAAGCTTCTGGTTCAGCGGACACGCTATAGGTTATACACCTAGGAGATCTAGGTGATTTAGGCTTGAATCTGGCTGCAACTTAGAGTGTGTTGCATTTGGTTGAAGCTGGCAGAAAAAGCATCGTCCAACAACTGACACGGCAGAGGTGGAACCCTGAATGCAAACAGGGCCAAGCAGTGTGATACTGGTTGATGGGATCTATTTGTTCCGAGCTGCTCATGTGGCTGAAGACTCTAGTTTCCAAACACCTGTACGCCCTGACCTTCACTTCTTCAAATCAGGCTGTGGCTCACGCCTCATTTGTCAGACTCGACTCACTATGAATTGGCCTTGTCCTCCAGAGCCCAAAGCTCATTGTGCCATTGTCCCTGCCAGGCCAGACTTTCTCATCCAGAAGCGGATCCAGAAGGACGTTACGAGAGCTTCTTTCCAGTCGTCGTTACAACATGTAGTGGCATGAGAAGGGTAAACTTGTTGGTTGTTAGCTCAATGATTCTATGCGTTAGCACTGTTAGTACCACAATGATCTAGGTGCTTCTTGTAACTCAAATCTCGGTTGAAACCGAGAAGTCTACGTCAGCGACATGTGAACAGTCGGTTGGCTGTTGCGTCATGCCCACGATGCTTTCTGAAGCATGTTCATCTCCAGCTGCCCTGACCGATGGTATAGGTAGCTAGTTAGCGTGTTTCCACTGAACTTTGAACTGTTTTTCCTGAGCTACCCGCTACACCAAAGGTGCCTTTCGAATGGTAGCCGTCGAAGGACAACCAGTTCGCCGTGGCAGCGGATTATGCATCCAAAATGGCCGCAATCTCGCAGGTTACGCACTGGTTCGAGGCCTGGCAACTGGCACAGTGTGGAACCCGATCGTTTTGGGACGCTTGTTGTTCACTTGGCAGGGCTCTTATCAGTCAAGAGCACAGATTATCCTGGGTCTTGGTTTTCCCGATGATGGTACTGAAGCACAAATTCAATTGGCATCTCCTTCGAGGAAAATGGATTGAGCAATACGAAGTCCAAGCACTGTTTAATATAGTACTTGCGATCAGGGACAACTTCTTGCGCTCACTGCAGTGAACTATGGTACTGTAAAACAGAGTCAGCCCCGCGTTAATTTAATGCCTGAACAACGCGCAGAGAGTCGAGCTGTCACTCAGCTTGCTACTGTACAGTCGTGCTTTCCCAAGCTACCAACATTTCCTCGTCGCGGGATCTTTGTAAGTAGCTGACAACCCTACACGGAGAGATGATAGTACCTACACTGTACAACCCATTCGAACCCGTTTAGGATGTTCGGAGCTCAACGAAGCCCGACCCCTCTGCAACCCTCTCCCTCTAGCATGGCCTTGGCAAGGGCAAGCAGAAGTTTGATTTCGCCGAGACAGAAAAGCGAAGCTCTGAGTTCATCAAGCAGGATGGTGAAGGGGTCTCCCGTGCCAGCATCGGAGCATATATACCTAGTGATCTAGTATACTTTGTATTTACAAGGCAAGTATATAAATGCAAGTGACATGTGCCAAGTAGTTGCTAGTAGCGGCATGCATCATCCGTGTACTGCATATGTTGCGTAAACCATCTGCTGTCGCAGTGGCTATTCGGTTTGCAGGAATGACTGCTGGCAGTTCTTTGGATGTTGTAGAGGCCTTGGTTCTAAGGATTAGCGAGCGCATTGGGTTGCAGCGGTCCATCAATAACGGCTAGGGAAAGGAAGGAGCTGC